TCTCAGGCGTCCACTCGATCTTGTAGACCAAATCGTGGTCGACCGCAGATCTTTTCAGCGCATGTGATTCTTCCAACGAGTTATCCTCCTCCACTTCCTCTTCCTTCTCGTCCTCATCCTGATCATGCTCCTTATTCTTCTTCTCTTGTGTCTTTGGCAAGATCATCGCCTTCAGTTTCCTTGTCCGCACACGCAATCCATCCATCGAGGGCACTACAGATTTCAAGTTCAGCGACGGTAACCAGGATCCCGTACCCTTGCTCGAGTGCGAATCCCTTGCGGAGTGGCTATAGAAATCCGTGACGACCGTATGGGGGTCTCGACCGGTGACCTCGATCGTGATCTCTTCACCACGCATGGGGTTTGAGAGCATCATCGCAGTGACGATTCCGGGACCGGTGGCGCCGGACTTGAGCTTGGCAGAGAAGCTTCCGTAAAGGTTCCAGCGGGTCGAGGAAATCGTCGCGCCGAATCCGCCGCCACTCTGTGTCTTTACCGTGTCTCTGTTATCCCAAAAGCGAAAGCGAAAGCAGAAGTAAAAAAAAAAAAAAAAAAAAAAAAAAAACGACGAACGCAGTATTAGTCAAACCTGTTGGGCCAGACCACAACTTACATGCCAGACATTTTTTTTTTCTTGGCATGTTTCATGTATTGTGTTTCTGTCTTTTTTTTTTTTTTTGTTGTGCTTTACCGTTTAGCCTTGAGAACCAACCGCTTCTGCTTCGGATCCACGACCGCATTGGGCGCGATATGATCGAATTCTGAGGTCCAATGAGCCAGATCTGGGTCTCCAACGAAATCCAGTTTCGGGACCAAGAGCTTGTGCTGTCCCTTCTTATCCGCATCGTTATGCTTGAACGTCTCCTTGAACGATCGACACACCGGCAGGGGGAAACAGCTCCTCGGGTCCCCATCGTCTTCGTATTCTTCGTCATTGTCCTCACCCCGTTTCGATTTCTTCTTGTTCTTCTTCTTGGAGGAAGACTTGTCGTCGAGCGGGTGAGAATACCGGGGCTCGCAACCCAGAGACATCGAGCAGGCCATCAGAGATGTCTCGTGGCATGTTCCGTCTGCACAGAAAAAAAATATTTTTTTTTGCTCAGGCATTAGCTACTGTTGCATTGTAACGTATGGATATCAAGAAAACGTTGGTAATAAAAAAAATACATAAAAGTGCATTTGCTTACTGTTGCAGCAGGGTGAGCTGACGGGACAGGCCTCATAGGATGGGCCACAGCTAGGCGCGACTTCCGAGCTCGGGGCGGAGGAGAAGATGGATGCCTGGACTGGCTCGATCCAGAGATCGTCCAGTGGCACGAGCAGTAGCAGAAGAGCGAGCGACGGGGTCAGTAGACGCATGGTTGGTGTGCGTGTGTGTATGTCTGCTCCACTGTTTTCGACAGGTCGACTGGTGTGGAAGTGGGAGGGTAGGAGAGGGGAGGGGAGTGTGTTATTCGAGTGAAAGATGTGGCAGTAATGAGAGCAGAAATGGGCAGTAGAGAAAGAAAGAAAGAAAGAAAGAACGAGAGAGAGGGAGAGAAGGAAGGCGGTGCGGGACAAAGCCCAGGGTGCGGGCGTGAAGAAATAAGGGTGTGTGGAGCGCGATGTAATGCATCGTATCATAACGACGTCTTCGCGGGGTTCAGTCTCGTGCATGAATTGAAATTTCAGCTTAGCGAAATCTGACGGAAGACGTCTCTGTCATCATTTCTTTATTCGGCCAGGGCTCCACACCGCGCATTGACCAGCATCCCCGGCATCTAGACTACTCGTCCTCGCCATCCTCCTGGAACAGGTCCACGGCATGCTGCACTGCCGCCGCACCCCCCTCGTTCATGAACCGCTTTTCGCGGACAACGATCGACGCGTGTGCATTCCATCCCTCAATATGCACAATATTCTTCATCCACTCCAGCGTGTTCAGGTTCTTCGACATCTCCACCTGCGTAGGCAGCAGCGCCAGAGGCTGAACAGACTTGAGCAACGGGAACGAGTGCGACACCACCGTGGATTCCTCTCCATCTGCCCCGGCAGAATCATTCTTCTTCACTGACAACACCGTGTGCTCCTGTTCCGCCTCATCTTTTTGTGGACTAACCACGGTGCTGCTCGAAGAATGAGCAGTCGTCTGGGTACCCTGCCGGTGGCCTTGGTTACCATCGCTTTCGTCCCCGTCCTCCTCATCGTCATCGCGGTATCGATCCAGAGCGGTAGTCGAAGCCCGCTCACGGATCCGTAGTAATTCCTCGCTTGTCGTCGTCATGTTCTTGGTTCTCCTCCTGGAATCTAGGCCTTGGTAACCAATGGTTGTGCTTGCAAAGACGATCCAGACAGGAATCAAAATGGGTCCAAGGAGGCCAAAGAAGGCGTATTTTTTCCAGGGGATGCTGGATAGTGTCTGCGAGGCCCTCTGCGTTAACGAGGTAGCCTTCAAAGATGCGGCACGTTCTTCCTGCATCCGAGCAAGTGTCTCCATATCGTGATGCACATAAGACTCGATCAAGGATGAGTAGCCGCTGCTATATTGACTAGGTATAGTATGGTAAAAAAAAAAGGCTTTAGCAATCTATCGAAAAACAACTTCTACAGAGTTAGTTGACCATTAGATTGTCACTTACATCTCCATGGCTTCGAGTTCGCTAAAGGGGTCTGCATCCGAAAAACTGGCCGTCCAGAACGGGACAGATCGGTCGTTTCGGATATTAGAGTAAATCACTCGTCGCTTGAACCGCGCCAATGTCTTTACGAATACGCCCTCAGGTTCAGACATGACCAACAACAATGGTTTCCCCTGAATATAATCGTCCACCAGCTGCATCTGTTCTCCTGTGCGACTCAGCATCCGGGAGCTCAAATAGTTGAACACCTTGGACCATGTTGTCTTGGGCGGCTGACGGATACCCAGGTGAGGGGTAGCCATCGTCACAAAGTACATGGGCTCGATGCCTCGACCGCCCTGCTCCACTGGATCAAAGAACTTCTCGAGCTCCAAGAGTCCCATCACAAATCGAGCAATCAGCCCGCCGAGCGAGTAACCGAGGAACGAGAATTGGGTAACCTTCTTCTTTTTAGCGTGACGATGCGTCTGTGTCTGTGATTGTGCCTCGCTATCGGATGCATGAAGGTCCTCGCTGCTGGATCGATTGTTATGCGGGCTCGAATCCGCAGAGGAGGCCTTCTTGCTGTCCTTTGACTTGTTGGAGCTCTTGTTGGACTTTTTATTCCCCTTGTTCTTTTGTCCCTTCAAATCCTCGATGTTGCCACCAGCCTCGATCACACGGATGACCCTGTGGATCTCCTGAACTGCCCTTTGACCACAGATATCGATTCCATCATACGTCAGTGAAGACTCGTTCGACTCTGCGCGATACTATCATGTGTATTACAGGAACCGCTTGTTGAGGTTTAGTGCATGTGCAAGATAGACAACAAAGCACACTTTGAGGTAGGGTTGGACGTACGACAAGGATGCGATCGCCAAAGCGCTCCTTAAATTGGTCGGCAATGAATTTGACATGGCCCTTGTTGCCCCAGAGACCATGGTGCAAGATAACGAGGTGCACGCCCTCGTGTGCATCTGTGTAGGTCGCTGTGCTTTCGATTGTTGTCATTGTATTGAGTTGGCTGTTTGAGGGGGGAAGATGGAGGATATCTGGTTGGTATGTGTGTGATTTTCGGGGCAGTTGAGCAAAGGGCAGAGCTGAGTCGAGAGAGGGATTCAACCGAGGGTGTGGATGAATAGGAGATTGGACTGACAAGATGAATGAGTGAATGAGTGAATGAGTGAATGAGTGAATGAGTGAATGAGTGAATGAGTGGATGAATGTATGAAGGTGTAAATGAATGTGAGCGTTGTATCTATCTATTCTATATTTATACATATCTTTAATGCTCGACGTTGGACAATGGACAAAAAAAAACTCGATCGGTTACGTGCGCGTGTACGAAGCTCTTGCGCAAAAACCGATCTTCCGTCGACTATCGACGCAGCATATCATGAAATACATTCACATGTATGAAAGCCAATGTTGGATGTCATACATGGCCTACACCAGCGCATCAACGATCTTCCCTTCTATCTCATTCCAGTCGTGTGGCCACATTCCGCTGCATAGGATGTATATATCCCAGGCGATGTGCAAAAAATAAAAGTAAACGGTTCTATTGTATTGTATTGTATTGCACTGAATGCTTATATTATTGCTAAAAGACTGGCAATGAGTAAAAGCCAAGACACCGTTACTAATGTCCTATTTGCATCACCTACATCTTTCAAGAAAGCGAAAAGACATTCGCCGAGTCGACTGGCTTTGCTGACTGTACAGTGGGGGAATCGATCGTGGCGGCGATATCCATCATACTGTGGTTTGATGGCACCTTGAGTTTATGCGCCACGGACGCCATGCTACTGATCTTTTTGCTTGCCTCGCGGAAGCCCAAAGGCAGAATCGGCTCGCCCACAGCGCCGCGTTGCTGTAATAGCCGAATATTTACCCTGCTTAAGCCTTGCGCGTTCTGGATAGAGGTATTTGACACTGTAAGTCTGTCGTGCATCGAACTCCAAAGCAGGCGCACCTGGTAGCGATCCTCCTCTTCTATGACCTGCCACATGCGAACGGACATATCGTCACAGCCAGTTGCGAAATGGGTGCCGTTTGGAGTAACGTTCCAGGTGATGCTTGCGATTGGTCCATGGAAATCTTCAACAACTGCCAAGCATAGACCCGAATTCACATCCCACAGTCGCACCGTCTTGTCGTAACTGCCTGAGGCGATCAGCTGGCCGCTGGATGAATACATCACACTCGTAACATAGGAGGCATGGCCGCTTAAGATGAGACCGGGTGCACCAGTTTGCGCATCCCACAGCTGCACCGTCTTGTCGAAACTGCCCGAGGCAATCTGCTGGCCGCTGGGCGAATACACCACGCTCTTAACTGAGTCGGTATGGCCGCTTAAGATGAGACCGGGTGCACCTGTTTGCGCGTCCCACAGTCGTACTGTCCTGTCCCAGCTTCCCGAAGCGATCTGCTGGCCGCTAGGCGAATACACCACACTCGTAACCCAGGAGGTATGGCTGCTTAAAATGAGACCGGGTGCACCGGTTTGCGCATCCCACAGTCGCACCGTCTTGTCGCCACTGCCCGAGGCGATCTGCTGACCGCTTGACGAATACACCACGCTCCCAACATCCAAGGTATGGCCGCTTAAGATGAGCCCGGGTGCACCAGATTGCGCATCCCACAATCGCACCGTCTTGTCGCCACTACCTGAGGCGATCTGCTGGCCGCTGGGCGAATGCACCACGCTCGTAACCCAGGAGGTATGACCGCTTAAGGTGAGGCCGAGTGCACCGGTTTGCGCGTCCCACAGTCGCACCGTCCTGTCGCCACTGCCCGAGGCGATCTGCTGACCGTTGGGCGAATACACCACGCTCGTAACCTTGTCGGTATGGCCGCTTAAGACGGGACCGAGTGCACAGGTTTGCGTGTCCCACAGTCGCACCGTGTTGTCGCCACTGCCCGATGCGATCTGCTGGCCGCTGGGCGAATACACCACGCTCGTAACTGAGTCGGTATGGCCGCTTAAGATGAGACCAGGTGCACCGGTTCGTGCATCCCACAGCCGCACCGTCTCATCCAGGCTACCCGAGGCGATGTGCTGGCCGTTGGGCGAATACACCACGCTCACAACATAGAAGGTATGGCCGCCTAAGGTGAGGCCGGGTACACCAGTTTGCGCATCCCATAGTCGCACCGTGTTGTCGCAACTGCCTGAGGCGATCTGCTGGCCGCTGGGCGAATACGCCACGCACCTATCAGAGTCGGTTTGACCACGCAAGGTGTGCGCTTTTGCCCAAGTCGAAGTGTCATACACGTTGATCATGCCGTCGCTGAGGCCTACCGCACAGAACTTCCCATCTGGTGAATACGCGCAGGAAACCACCATGCTATCTTCTAAGAGGTACGGCCATTCGCCAAACTGCACTCCCGCCATCTGTGCGTTGCTCAAATTGGCCTGACGCAGCCAAATATTGCGAAGATTGACTTTTCTCAAATCTGCCCCTTGCAGCTGAGCGGAATCGAATTGGCCGCCACTCAGGTCCGCTCCTGGAATCTGGATGCCTTTCAGATCTGCACTGTTAAACAGCATCCCAGCTCTGACCAATATCGTGATCGCATTGGCCGCCGCCTTGCGTGCCTCTTTGTCGGTTTTGGAGCGTTCGATCGTGGCGAGCAGCTGCTGCTTAAAGAGAAGTTCCTGTTGGACACGCTCTGCTAAAAAGTGCAGAATCGACGGCTCATCCACAAAGCTTCTCCGTGCCAACGGCGAATTGAGCACGGTCTGTTCAATGACTGCCACAGGTTCTTCTACACCAGCCTGGTTTTCAAAGCTCATGACGGAATGGACGCTCCCTCTGCGTGGTAGGGCTTGAGTCAAGGCTGCGCGACTCGCGCTCTCTCCGTCTCGCGGCTCAAACACCGCTCGGGCCAAGCAGTATTCCAGCAGTGATTTATGGATAAACCGGTATTGATTGCCGCTGCGGGTCAGAGGACACGCCTCACGCAAGAGCTGCTGCTTCTCATCCTCCCGGCTAAAGAAATCTTCTTTCCATGTCCTTCGATCGCGAAAGGGTGAATACTCCACCACTGGATTGCCTGCTTGCTCTTTGTACATTGCTAACGCTAGTGCTTTCAAAAAGGCAACTCCGTTCTGTGCAAAACCATGGTCGGACAAGCTCTCGAACACCTTCTTCTCTTGATAGCTCAAGTCCTTCTTCTCAACAAGCCGTTTCTTGCCTCGCTCCAACCATTGCTCCACAAACTGGTCATACAACGCCACTCTCGTGACCCGGACGGACGAGAGGTCTTGTCCTGGATCGACCATGCGCGGCAATACTTCCATGGACAGCGTCAACATAAACGGGTTCTTGACCAGGTCTTGCAGGCTGGGGATCAGATTCAGGGTCTTCAAGTAGTCCGTCACCTGCCAGAGCGGTTTCGTTGCAGATACATACTTCCTAATGTATTCTTGTATTTGATCCATAGAGAATGGCGCAATGACCGCCTCTTGAAACGCTGGCTCAGCTTGGTGATTACGATCTGCTGGTTGGAACCGATCCCGATAATCAAGGCCAAGATACTCGCTGCGGCAGCTAATGACCATCTGAGCACTCCATCCTCCCACCTGGTTCAGTCCGTTGCTCGTGTACAGGTTGTGTGTCTGCTGGCTCTCATCATACCCATCACAAATCAAGATGAATTTGCGATGGTCTTTCAGCTCTCGGATCTGGGGCTCGGTAAACTCTGCCTTCCGTAGGTATTTGGCGATCAGATCCTGCTCTGGCTTGTCGATTGCAGGCAAGCTGATAAAGAGCGGGATCCTGCCTTCCTTTTTCTTGTAGGCATCCCACAAGTCGCACTCGAGCTGCCGGTTAAAGGTCGACTTGCCTCCACCCGAATCGCCCAGCAGGAGCATCACCTTACGGTCACTGCTCAGGAAGCCTTCAACTTCTCTTGTCAAGTCGAACAGGTTGTCATCGGACGCTTGTAAGTTGGCCCTGGCTTGAGGAGGGATGTACACGGCTTCGCCTCGTTCCTTCAATCGTTGCTTTCTCAGTCGTCTCAGGTCGGCTTCAACGTCGGGCTTGTTCTGGACAAGATCAAGCAGCGATGAAGACGCAACAATTGGTAAGGCGACCTGCAGTGGATGTAAGCTTCGATTCTCCTTTCGGCAATCCTGATAAAGAATCCTTTTCGACTCATCGCCATTCGATTCCAGCTCCTGCAACAAAGGTTCGACACCTATACCATGTATCGCATAGACCAATAGAATATAGTGCTGCTATTAGTGCCTGCTAGGCGGTTTGAATTCCATTCTTCATAATAGGGCAAGAGCCTCTCACGTATTCGTTCATCATACATACTTGGCATAGCTGAGCCAAATGTCAAAGCCAACTGCATAAGAATGTGAAGGATCCATTGCTTGGCGAGGGCTTGCTGGCCCCACACTGCATCGTTTCGGTACATCTCGCCTAGAAACGCAACAGCGCCTTGACGAGATTCGATGTCCCACAGTGGATTCACGGCAAGGTCCCCCAGGCGCTGGCATATTCCTAGTTGAAAGGCTAGATCACGCCAGCAAGGTGCTTCACAGACCAGGGTCTTGAACTTGGCGAGTTGACCATCCCGAAGCAGCGTGTCTGTCCCGCGCAGTGCTGTATACCAGGCACGTTTCTGGTTGAAGCTGAGACCGACCTTGAGAGATTCCAACAGTCCTTGTCCACTCTCGGCCAGTGCACTCACGCCTTCATACCCGATTTTCGCCACCTGGATCACCTCTCTCAGTCCATCCTGAAGATGCCCCAGTCCTGTGATGAAGCCGTTGACGTCCAGACCTTTTACGGCGCTAACTATCCCTGAGACACCCTTCAAAACAATTCCAGTGCGCCGCATCGTTGCTTGCCAAGGTGATTCGTCGTCTGGGACGCACTGCAGCGCTTGGAAGGCATAAGCAGCCTGGTACACCAAGTAAGGGTCGCTGCTGCTTTGCAACCCATTCAAATAAGCAGAGAGTGGCTCATGCAGCTCTACACGCTTTAAGTCTGAGACCTTGGTGTCGGCCATGGCATCCAGGACATTGGACACTGCGAGTGTCAGATGGTAGATATGTGTCGGAGACTGATTGTGAGTATCTTGTAGGTGGGTGCTGAGGGTACGCAAGATCGTGACTAGGTCATCAGCGTCGAGGTAACCTGGGGAAGCGCTTTGGATCAGTTTCGCCAGTCCCTTGAGAGAATGGACATCCAGCAGGCTGGATTGTTCGATGCCATTGACAAAGAGCATGAGCAAATGTTGAAAATCATCCTTCTCAAGAACTGGGCCCAAGCATACGACCTCTGCGACAGCCTTGGCATCCTTGAGCTCATCGCGAGTAAATGCTCGGATCACATCTGTCGCCAGCGTCCTGAGTCTCTCCTTCTCCTCTGCATTCTTCTCTGTGGATTTCACCCAATTTCCTGCGGCTGGTTCAAAAACCTCTTCGGGTGACGGCGTCACTTGCAGAAGGCCAAGGCAGTAGGCAAGCTGGGAAGTATCGTTGAGTCGCTCATCTGCCTCTGGCAACGCGATCTTGATGGTGGGCTGACGCATGTCATCGGGAAAGATATCCTCAGGGACCCGTGCCATGTCGTGGCAGGCACTGTCGGCGGTAGGTGGAATTACAGGACCTGGGTTTTTTGAAGGACGCACATGGCTGTTGAAGTCAGAGGACAGTCAACAAAGTGAGAGATACGTTAGGTACGACGCACGATATAGCCGGCTAATGCGAACAGGTAGAGAGCAGGCGCCTGTCACTTACCCTCACTTTTCTGCCCTTTTGTAGCTGACCTGTGCCATTTCGCTGTATCCTAAGCTCTCCAATAGGTTGGCGTGCTCGAGACACGCGCTGGCGAATCCATCACGCAGGGCTTGATTCTCGACGGACAGGGGTGCTGTAAGAGTCTTTTTCGCTGCTCTTTTCATCCGGGATAATGCGCCCTCTGCGTCGTCGCACAACACTAAAGCAATTTCCCGATCCTTGGTTTTGCGCGCATTCTCTACGTAGATGTTGGTGAGTTCCAGTTCCTTTTGTGGTGAAAGAGCCTTTCGTGTCGACGAAAAAGCTCTGTCAAACATGTTGCTTCTCTGAGGGGGTCTCTCCTGTTATCATAGAGCAGATGGCGGCGATATTAATGGCCTTGTGGTAGATTAATATACCTGTGCGAGTAGCCAATATGCTTTTACTTGGCAGACACTTCAGTAATGTAATGGGAGCCAATAAGTCCCAGTGGGCTGGTATACTACAGACGCAGTGGCAGCCGAATGAGCTATCGTAACTCAAAATATTAATATCCATAGCAGCTACATGAACTAGATCATATGTGGTTGCTCTGCCAAGTGATGGACCCCTACTTCGGAAGTGTTTATTCGACTCCTGTTTCCTTTGAAGTAGTCCTGAAGATTTGTCCTCCGTGTCTCCTACCAGCGATACCAACTTCCCATCGTGAAGCATGCAGGATTAATAACCTTAAAACATGCCTATAAGCTACTATCGACTGACAAGAAAACAGTGCCTCACCTCAACAGGAATCTGTTTCTCGAGTTCTCTCGCCAGTCGAGGAGATGGTCCGTCCCTATGCAACGCCCTCTACTTCAATTCTTTGTCTAAGACAGTCTGCACACGAACAAGGCGGTTGAGTGGATTGATATTCGCTTCCCTCGTCACTTCTAGCAGGAATTCCTGTGAGCATTATTGTCCATTGCACATGGACGGCTGTTCTCCTGATCTCGGCCATTCTAGCATTAGCACTCTTGACTCGGCTGTGGTTGTTCAGGCACATTCAGGGGCGGGGGTTTGGCAGATAAACTGTGTCTTTGTTACCAATGAATCGCCGCTGGGTTGTGCTTATTGAAATCGAGCAGAGACGTACGAGAGACAGGCAGAAAAGCGAGAAAGCAGAGACGTGCGAGAGACAGACAGAAGAGCGAGAAAAGATGAGAAAGATGAGAGACAGTTCCTGATGGATTGAGGGAGGGAGAATCTGGGAGGAAGGGAAAGTGGGAAAGTGCGAAAAGAGGAAAAGAGTGCAAAGACATACATCCAACGTTACAGCATCCGCCCTCGCCCTCGTGTAACATGTGTAAGCTCTCAGATGCGAAGAAGGGAAAGTAGCCACCGAACTCTAACAGCAGTGCTCCTTGCTCATCCTTTCTCGCCGCTTCAGCATCATTCTGACTTTGAGGCGTTCGGCCATAATCCAACGGATGATAGCTTTGGGCCATTGCCTGCTCAGGCATGTCCAAATACCATCTATCCGAATGAATGGTTCCTCTCGTACAAAGTTCAGTTACTATCACAACAACATCTCATCAGCAGGGTAAGCCTGACCTGCCTCACGACGGTCTAAACCCAGCTCATGTTCCTTATTAAGTGGGTGAGCAATCCAAACGCTCGCTTACTGAATTCTGCTTCAGTATGGCGAGTGCACTGTTGGCTGTAGATCTGATGTTGGTCACAGCGGTGGTGCTGGCGATATTGACCAGGGTCGGTAAAGGAAGTTGGGACGATACTCTTCGCGGGGGGATTGCCTAGGATCGGAAGAGTTATGTTTCTCTTGCGCGTATCACTAAAGGCAGCGGGTGCCATGGTCAACATTTACGGGTGCACAGTACCCATGACCCTAGCTTGACCTGTTCATTGTTCATCGCTTTTGCTCCCGCTCTTTTGGTTCTTCTAACCCATTGAGCGCTTTAGTTTGTGCTTTTGACTATTAATTTTAATTTATGAACTTGTCATGGACAAAGACTGTACAGGATCAACTAGTAGGTATCGTAAAAAAAGAAAGAAGTTATGGTACATTTCCCGCTTTAAGCAATGGTCGAGCGCCAGCTGCGGGCCCGCTCAAAACCGTTATGACCGAACTGGTAATCCAAGATAGTTTTCTGAATTTCCTCCCGAGTGTTCATCACAAATGGTCCGTGCTGGAATATCGGCTCCTTCAAGGGCTCGCCCGCGATCACCACAAAATGTGCATCCTCGTCCTTGGTCCGAATCTTGATCGTCTCCGCACCATCCTCCGAAAACGTAAGAGTATGGTGTGCCTTGCCCTCGAACTCCTGGTCTCCAACAAAGGCTGTGCCCTTGAGCACATAGATGAATCCGGTGTAGCTGGCAGGGATCGACTGCTCGACCGTCTTGTTCTTGTCCATCTTGAAATCCAGATACATAGTGGGCGTGCGAGTGTAAACCTTGCTCTCTACGCCATGCGACTCGCCCGCAATGACCTTGATGGTGACACCTTCCTCAGGCGTAGCACGAGGGATCTCATTGTCGAGCAGTTCCTGGTATTGAGGCTCGCACATCTTGTGGTCCTTGGGCAAGTTAATCCAGAGCTGTAGACCGTGGGCACGGGTCTGAGACTTAACTGGCATTTCCGAGTGAACAATACCGCGTCCGGCGGTCATCCACTGCAGGTCGCCAGGCCCGATGGTTCCCTTGTGTCCTGCAAAGTCCTCATGCTGGAACTGGCCCTCAAGCATGTAGGTCACGGTTTCGAAGCCGCGGTGAGGATGGTCAGGGAAACCACCGTTCTTGTCGACATTGAATTCGTCGAGCATGAGGAAAGGATCGTGGTTGCGAAGTTCAGGACGGCCGATGGATCGGCGGACTCGTGCACCAGCACCCTCGCCTTGTTCACGAGAGAGAACAGACTTGACAATGGATCTTGAGGTTCTGGTGAGAGTTGAAACCATGATAGAGCTGGTTTGCTGTGGGGAGTGTATTAAAGTGCTTGTAGGGGTGAAGTGTCTAGATAGCAGAGTAAAGTGTTGTGTATCGATGCCGATGTCGATGTCGATATGAGAAAACTGGTTGCTTTTTTGATGAGAAAAGTTGGAGTTGGTCAATCTGTGGGGCCTTTTTATACTTTTTATTCCCCTCCCTTTGGAACAAACTTTCTGACCAATTGACTTCTGTAAGCAGCTCCAACTCCGACAAGCCACCAGGAGTGCTTACTGAACAAGCTTTGCTTTCCTTTTTTGAGCCGCGTAGAATAATCTACAAGGGATGCCAGCTTAATCACCAACGCGTCCTAGATATTTCTCTCACCAATTCATCAGCACAAAAAAAAAAAGGACCAAGCATATTGCCGAAGCATAAAGCAACTCATAGTTCACTCGAGTACATTCAACTGTCCCAAAAGCATGATCCATGGTAGGTGCTTCAGACAGCTATCATGATCCTTGCTGACAAAAAACATCCCCAAGACCATCCATCAGTATCTTTCGTCTTTGCGGCCTGTCCTCTAAGACAATGCTGGGCTGCATTCGGTTCTTTAAGATCCGAAAGGTTATTCGCTTTTATCAGAAGGCGCACGTCATTTCGGTCGGGACATAAAGCGTCTCGAGGGGGAGGTAAATATCGCCAGGTCAACATCGCCGATTGGAATGATCAGTCTTCCCTCTCCAAAGTCGCCGCAAAGCCTATCTAAAGCCAATACCATTGAACGGCGGCGGTAGAGCATGGGAGGTGGATTTCATTCTTATCGTCAATCCATTGACCTAGACAGAATACACAAGTAGATGAAGTCCAAAAAAAATATATATAAAAGTTCCTCGGGAGCTTAGTACTCTGAATTATTACAGAGTTCAATTTCTGAACCCGTCGATCCTGTATCTGCATCTTTTCATAGCGTCGCTGGTTCTTTTATACGACGAATAAAGGGAAAAAAAAGAAAATAAGCCTGTGATAACTCAAGAAACCTCATCTCTATTCTAAGCCCCGCAACGCGATGATGATGATGAAGATAACGAAGATACTTAGATCTTTCAATATCTAGAACCCGGCGTTTTTTTGTATTATCATGTTTAATTACCAGTGCTATTTATTACATCGAAGAAAAAAAAAAATTCTACCATCCCTTGCCTCTAAGGAGCCATTCTAGTCTTATCGCTTAATCCAACGGTTCGATAGCAGGTAGCGATGCATCGTTCGCATTCTGGGTGTTGTAACCTGTGTTCGTTCCGCTGTTCCTGTTATTCGAAGTAGTGGTGCTTCTATTGCCGCTGTTGCTGTTGCTGTTGCTGTTACTGTTGCTATCGTTATTGTCATTGCGTTCAGTCGGGAATGCTCCTGGGAGGTCCATGAAGGATCTAGCACCGGTCTCAGTGCCATTGCCCCCACCCGCAGCTGAAGGTGCGCTAGTGGCGCTGCTGTTTCCAGAGGGTGACTGGTGTCCTTCCGCATGTCTTTCGTCGCTGCCACTAACCAGCGAGAATCGGCTATAACCATATAAACATATATATGGTCAGTGGGTCTGCACATAAATATCATCCACAAAAGTATAAACGTGGCGTCCCTTTTTTTCGCATTACCATGTGGGGCATGTTCCGCTGACTTTGAGCCAAGGCTTGATACAATCTTCATGAAAGATATGTTTGCATGGCAATTGCAGCAGATTGTCCTCCTTTGCGAACTCGTCCTTGCAAACGCTGCATTCCGTCTTTGCCTCTACTCATGAATAAATCGAATAAGTCGTTTCATGTCCATGGTCAGTTTAAAAAAAGAAAAAAAAAGAAAAAAAAAGGGGGATAGTTTATCTACTGAATTCCATAAAACCCCTTCCTTACCCAGTTCTTCATCCGTCAACTTGTGATGGGGTATATTATCGATAATCTCGTCCGTGGCTCCAACTGGACCATGCTGGCGACTAGGGCGAGATCAAACCAGTAAAAATAAAACAATAAGTAGCACATTTCTAAAAAAAAAAAAAAAAAAAAAAACTCCCCACCACACGACATTGCGGCACTTTTCAGCACAAAGGCGAATTCAAATGTCAAAGTCCTTACTTTTGCAGTTCCATCATCTGTGAGATAATATCGTCAAGCCCTCCTTGTCCCCACGCATAGTCACCAGGGTTACCGGCAATCGGGAAGAATCCTCCACCACCTCCGCCCATGGGCCCACCAAAAACCCCACCGCCAAAACCGGGACTTCCCTGCAGTGCGGCAGGATCAGTTGTGTAGTGCACCTCGATCCCAAGACGATTCAGCAACCTGAACAAGATGAAATTTTGAGCGTCAGGTGAATGCAGTAAAAAAAATTCTGGCATGTTCTACAGCAGCCTGCTTCTTCATACATACCCTGATATGAACGATGGCGGGCTATGCCATTGTGGCCCCGGTTGCTGCTGTTGCTGTTGTTGTCGTTGTGGTTCCTGTTGACCTTCCTGACCATCTCTTGTAGAGATAGGATGCGAATCCTCGTGCTGCTGCTGCTGCTGCTGCTGCTGCTGTGACTGACTTCCCGAGGAGGGAGTACGGGTTGTGGTGCCCATAGGTCCCGTGTTAAAGATAATTTGTGTACCACTGCTGTAAACGGGTCCCTGCTGCCCCTGGAATGGGCTCTGTTGCTGCTGTGAAGCCCTCTGCGGAGTCGCAATCGCCTGAAAGAGTTGAAATAGGTCGTTAAGGTTGATAGATTCCGTGAACCCTGGGCCCTCCTGGCTGCCGCTACGATCCCCTCCAGCACCACCAGCGGTTGCAGGCTCAGGCTGTATGAACGTGCGCGGGTCATTATCGGCTTCAATCTGTCCAAAGTATCAAACATAGAATGCAAATCCTGATTGTCAGCACCATGCCGGCTTTTTTTTTTTTCCTTTCTTTCTTTCTTTCTTTCTTTCTTTTCAAAAAAGTTTGTTCTCGGTATCCAGAAAGGCATTACCTTTTCTACAAACTCGTTATGACAATGAGGACACATTGGATCCGGCACCATCATCGGTGTGATCTCTCGTTGACACTAAGTTCGCAATGATAAATCGAATACACAGGATGCTACTCGGTCAGCATATAAGTCTACATTACAGTCTTCGATCGCTATGCAAGGTCAAGAAAAAAAAACATTTGCCTGGTGGCACCAATAGTCGTTCGTGTGCTGCTGTCGCGCCGCAGCACTGTCTGTTGAGGTCGTCGTGGGCTCAGCATTCGTCGAGGTGTTATGAGGAGAGCGAGTACTATCGTTGGGGTTGTCTCTGATATGGTTGTTGTCCTGCTCGCTCTGGTTCTGACCCAAGGCGTAATTGTCCTCATGCTCCATGGTTGGTGAGAGTGAATGAAGAGTAAATGAGAAAAGTGGAATGAGTTGCGGCAAGAAAAACCGTGGTGTGTTGAAAATATTTGTATGTGGGGAAACGGCCTCGGTATGACCTCATGGCATGGCACCAAGACATTAAAAGTTTCAGTGTTGTACTTCATTTGGCAAATGCTATGCATCTACTCTAGAACAAAAATGTGCGACGTTGGCGCTGACGCAGCGGTGGTGGTGGTGGTAGTGTTTCCTCCTCAGACATATCCGATTCCAAATCCCCTGCCTGCGTGAACGAGTGCTGCACAATGCCCCCGGGAGTGTCAGTAAACGCGTAGTAGTCCGCCACGCACGAACTGACAATCGTCGGATAATACGGGTGCCAACTCACATCTCGCGCAGCATAGTCCGAGGGCTGGTCTGCTTTTAAGTACCGCTGGAACGCCTTACGGGTGTCCAGTGTTCGAACGAGCGTACCATCCAAACGGTAGATCGCAACCTTGCCATCTGAGCTTCCGGTGTAGAGGTATCGTTGGCCTGTCGTGTGCGCTGGTGAGAAATGACAGCGGATCAGCGTTTTCAACACCTTGTGTCCTTGAAATGCCATCACAGAACAGTCGCCCTGAGCATAGATTCGAGTAAGAGAATGGAGTTAAAAAAAACTGTCCGAGACGATTAGGAGATAGTTGTCAATGTGAGGAGCGTACCGGAACTTTGTATGATCTGCGTCCAGTATAGCGGTCCGTCCTGTAATCAAATCCAGTGTTCTTGGGCTTGGGAAGCTCTGCATACTCTCGTCTCGAATGCATCATTCGTAGATCCCAGAGAAGCATCTTCTGGTCCTTGCCGTTACTAGCCAAGTACCGGTTGTCGCCCTTTGAAGTAACATAAGTGATACCCTCAGAATGGCCTACAAGGACACCCGACGGTGTACTGTATCTCCCTGCGCTCATCGACCGACGGTCCCTAAGAGCGGATGAGCGAAGGATGGTTAATCGATCTTCATTATCATTCATGGCTCGGGTCTGGTAAAAAAGTTCCGCGACCCGTTTTCCTTACCAAACTTTGACAAGGCGGTCATCGCTACCGCTGAATAAAACTTGAGAGGACGATGGCTCTGCAAAGCACACGGCATTGACATCGCCGTTATGAGCTTCGACCGAATGTAGTACCGTCCTTGACTCAATGTCGTACACTATCCGTAGAACAAAAAAAAAAAAAAAAAAAAAAAAAAAAAAACGTTAGGGCAGGCAGTTCAAGCGTAGAGTCGTACCGATAAGATGAGCAAAAGGACTTACCATAAATCCGACCCCTGCCTCCGGCAACAATCTCCCTTCCGTCTCCTGAGAAACGAACAGACCACAGCTAATATACGCAAGCAATGGATGCATATGCAAATCATCAGTGCCAGACACATTTTCAGCTTGAGAAACTGCGCTATCTTTCATCACGTTGTGCCATCATGATTTTGCATACCCCTTCCCCATCTTCGTCAGTCGAAAAGTCCAGCTGGTGGTGAGTAGCAGGCGCGTCTGCCGCAGTCCGCGTTAGATACACATAAGGGGTGATACTGGAGTAGATCAGCCAGTGGTTATCAAGAGACAAGTTGTGGTCGGTGATGGTCCAGCGTCCTGGCATGCCCTGGATCACCCTCTCACGAATCAGCTTGTTCCCGGCCGTCTTATAGATGCGAAGCTGAAAGTCTCTATCGCAGGTCGCAAACAGAGACCTGCATATGTAGAAAGATAGCAATGCGTTAAAATGATGAACTAGTCAATGGCAATAAAATCATTTGGGAATAGGGGCAGCGAATGCTGCGCAACGGCCACCGATCGATCCTTACCCGTCCTCGGAGTACTGACCAGAGTACGCGGCCGCATTGTAGACATCGATAACCCTACCAGGGTTATCGGGCAAAATGGACTATCCCAAAAGAGTTTCATTGTTAGTTACTTACGCACTCTTTCATCCAGCAGCAGGACAATACGGCTGAATGGCACTTCAGCATTTACCTCTCCAAGACCCAGAGGATTGATAGAACGGGGTTTAAGCTCCCTCATCCACAGCCTTCGTGCAATACTCTTCTTCTTGAAGTCCTTTGCTGGAATATAGGCTGAGTCTACTCGTCCGAACTCTCCAGAGTTGAGAAGCTCAATCCCTTTTTCACGATCAGGTTCTGGGATGGGAGAGGGCGTCCTGGGAGGGCGACGTACGGTCGACATGCGGCTTCGGCCTTGCAGAGCCCGCATGATCTCCACCACTACAAAGCGGAAATGGACCGTTAGTGCTTGTTGTTCGATAAGGAATAATCTCTTGTCATAACAATGCGCAATGCGAAGATGAACACCTTACATTGATGGATTCTGGTAGGCTGTCCCTCTACTTGATATTCCAAAAGAGTCAACCATTTGTCAGAAACGAGACAGACACAGACACAACGATACCAGTGGCAGTACAAATCCTCAAGTCCCGTTTACCTCCGTCCCCTAACAGGTCTGCCAGATCGATTGTCGTAGTGCCATCACCGTCATCGTCCTCATCCTCATCCATAAAGATATCGTCCTCGTCGTGGCTCTCGTCATTGTCGTCTTCCTCAGCGTAGTCATAGATATCAACTTCAATATCCTCTCCATCGTCATCATCCCCATCCTCATCCTCATCCTCATCCTCTTCACCGTCATCGTCATCCTCTGCCGCTTCTTCGTACTGGTAGTCTTCGTCGCCCTCGTCCTCGTCGTCCTCCATATGAGCACGGTTCTCCTCGTTGTTGTTCATTTGAAGCAAAAGAAGGGCTGTTTAAAGGATGTTTCTAGGACTTTAGGGATTTCAGGGATTTCCCAAGACTGAGAGCTGAAAAACTGCCGGAAAGTATAGGAAGAGGAGGTAAAGAGGAAAAAAGGCAAAGACGATGTCGAAAGACCTGAGAAGGAATGGCGAAAACGCTTCAACGTGACGGTACTCCCTTGAAGCAGCCAATCACAGGCGGCCTCCTCTCCGAGACGCCCAAACCTTATTTTATCTCGATCCGTGTATTGAACAAAGGCCTTCGTGTTTTATTACTGAACTTGCATCCGAACTCGTTTATCTGTCACTTCATTCCTTCAGGACAACAGAGGTGCCTCTTCGGCTTGTTTGCCGTTCCGTAGTGCGCTTGATACTCTCGACAATCTCCATTGCTACAGTTGCGTCCTTGACCTACAGTTGCGAAAAAAGAGGGAAGGCAATATCTTTGTCAAGATAAAACACCTCGTGCAGTTGCAGCGATTTTGACAAAATAGCATGTGCAGTAAGCAGAAACAGCGAGAGAAGGACTGACCTTGAGCAAGAATGAAATGGGTTTTCCTTCTTCAATGCCGATGAAGCGCACGTATTTCTCACCAGTGATAACCACATTCATATCCGGAAAGATGGCGACATTGAGAATAAGGCGCAAGACGCCGTCAGTTCTCATCACTGTCGAGAATTAAGCAACGACAGCACGTTAGTCGGAACAACATAGTAATCTAACGCGATAAAGACACCAAGGAACATGAATATGCCGTTTTTACCTAGACGCGCCAGCTTCGTGTCCTTTCGGCTAACATTGACCTTGAAGGTTCCCTTTCCTCTCTCCTTCCAGGCATGGTTCTTTTCCGTATCAGCGTAAAGTTTCCCTTTGGTTTGGTAGATATTCATCTCATCCTCTTCGCCCGTATGCACTATAACGATGGTGGGCAGGTCTTAGTGTTAGAAACCCCTTGGAAAGCAAATAGCCAATTGGCGTCTTCTTTTTGTCGACATCTCTTACCGTCGATCTGATCAGCATTAGTGAAAGCCCCGGCACCAAAGCTATGCTCATCATCCTCTCCTTGCTCTGGGTCTCTATCATTGTCTCCCACATCCTGCGACAGAAGCGATCCAAAATCAGCCCGTTCCTGGGAGCTTTCCTGGTCGATAAACGATCCTGATGTGAAGCTTGCTTCCTTGCCAAAGCCGTGTTTTCCCCCAAACGTGCTGAAGGAACCCGAAAATGTGGGCTGCGATGCTGAGGAGAACGCCTAAGTGCGATAATACGAAATGGAGTCGTCAGGACACATAGAATCGTCCGGCATACTGCCAATTGTTATAGAAGCCCATTTGGAAAGCACATACTGAAGTCGATGGATTGGCGCCGGCAGTGGATCCAAGGACTGATTTGGTCCCAAAGATACTTCCGGCAGTTGAGTCGGTGGCAGCTCCTGAACTTGCGCCAAATCCAGAGGTGCTTGTTGTGCTCGACTGGCCAAAAATGCTCTTTGCAGATTCGCCTCCAAAGACATTCGTCGAGGACGCTGCAGTCGCAAAGGGACTGACTGAGGACGCGTTTCCAAATCCGCCAGAGAAAGGAGCAGGTTTGCTGTCGAAGATATTGGTGTTTGCCACAGCAGCAAAAGGACTTGCTGTTGAAGTTGCATTCAGGCCCTTCAACGTTGCACTCGAGCTGCCGAATACACTCTCCGTAGGCTTGACGCTGGCAAAAGGGCTGGAGACTGAGGTGTTTGCTGATTCTGCCTCCTGATCACCAACGGATGAAGGGGTTGATTCGGTGTCGATGGGTGTGTCTGTTTTAGCAGCCGGTTGCTGCGAGCTCTCATCCTGTGTTACGTCGTCGTTGCTTCCCTGATCGCTCTCCACATCATCCATGTCCTTGCTCTGGTGCTCTGAACTTTCAGCCGTCTTGACGTCCTCCAGAGGCATTGTCTTGAGATTCCGTTGGATCTGCTTGACCTCTGCCCTGGATACAGCCTCATCAGCTTCAACCTCAGGCTTACTATCGGGGACAGAGAAAGAGATGCCAGACAGCAATAGGTCAGGACAATCAAAGAAAGCGTAATCGATATTGACCACCACCAAAATGGTCCAGACAAAATGCAGCAGCAACACTGAACTTGCATTTTCTTTGGTGGCACCTCCTCGGAGTTGGCTTCGGTCTCAGGTTTGGCTCCGGTAGACTAATCATTCGCCATGAAAGAAGGTCAGTGATCTGTTGATGGCTTCTCCTTGCTTGCTAGCTCATGCCTCGCGTGATTCCTAAAGGACATGCGGGTATGCGGGGTTCCTCAACGAGGAGTGGCCACTCACCAACACTCCTTCGCCCTGCTTCTCAAGCGCCTCTAGTTCGTCCCTTTTTCTCTTTGCGTGCTCATCTATTGGGGAGGGAGGAAAAAACGATTGGGATTAGTTAGCATCAAACGCCCGACGCGAAACAGAGTTGGTGAAGAACACGACTTTGTCGAGTGTCCTCGTTGATACCTTGAGATGGCGACTCGATGCGGTTGATGGGACTCGACATTGGGATACGGTGCGATCAGATTAGAGTGAATGGACGAGATAAAATCGGAGGAAGAAATGGGCGGAGCAGCAACAAGAGGAGGAGGGAGAGGTGGAGGAGTAGAGCGGTGGAGCGAATGTTCGTTTGTTTTGATGAGAGAGGGGGAGGGGGAAGGGGAAGGGGAAGGAGGTGAGTCTGGTTCGATCACTTTTGTTACATGTGGTCCTTGTCGGGTGGGTGTGCTACGTCACAGATCAATCCTTCGTATATAGCTGCTGTGCACTCTGAGGATGCCAGACTGAACAGAAGAATTGACCAGATCACTGCCAGGGTATGTTTATTGGACCTAGACTGCACTGAACTACCAAAGCGGGGATTGAAAGAAAGAGGACAGGTTGGGCAAGTGGACGTCGGGGGTAGCAACAAACAGCGTTGCGATTGAGTCGAAGAATTGAAGAGAAGAGACAGGGTAGACTGAACAAGAGGAATATCGGCACAGTCAAGTGCGCACGTGAGGGGGGGAGGGGAGAGTGAGAGAGAGAGAAAGAGAGAGTGCGAGTGCGAGGGAGGGAAAAAGAAGGAGAGGATGTTGAAAGAGGAGTGAGTACGCGAAAGAAGGAAAGAAGGCCGATTGTCGTCCTCGTTACGAGCGAGTCTGTGGTCCCATTATCGGGGTGTATACGCGTGTGCTTGAGGGAGCTGTCTGATCGGTCTGATCTGCACCAAAAATGGATCGGACATCTGCAATTAAGTTTCCCTTTTTCCCACCCTCCTTCTTCCTGCCCACTCACAGCACTCCATCCGTTCCCATCAAACTGAATAACTCATAAAACGAACTCCGTCCGCCCGTCTTTCCCTTCTCCCCTTCTCTCTTTCTTCCTTCACCACTCCTCTCCTCTCCTCTCCTCTCCCTCTCTTTCTTCCTCGCACACCCATTTCACCTGTTTATATATATACATATCTATCTATATACTTTATATATTTATATCCGTCGCTTGTTTGGCTATAAAAACACGCTTCGTTGGTTTCCAATGCGTCTCTCCTCATCTCTCCTCAGCTCCTCCGCCATCCTCACCATGGCCATCACAATCACCTCCACTCCCATCAGCGGCAACACCAAGCCCCTCACCCCAGAGCGCATGCTCACCCTCGCCCGTCCCTCGGCTGCCTCGCTCTCGCCCAATGGTCGTCTCGCTGTCTTCTCCGCATCCCGCTACGCCGTCGACACCAACAAGTCCATCCGCAACCTCCACCTTGTCGACCTCGCAGACAATAATACCCTCTCGGACCTCACCCCCCAGGTCCCCGACACCAACCATGACAACGCCGTCTGGCTCGATGACAATAGCCTCGCATTTCTCGCCAAGGGTCAGCTCCATGTCAAGGCCGTTGGCTCCGACAGCGAGCCCTATATCCTCACACACTTCCCCGTCGACATCACCAACGTCAAGTTCAACAGGGCAGCCAACCTGATTGCCTTCTCTGCCGCCGTTTACACCGACGGTACGCTTGAGGGTGCCAGGGAAAAGGACGAGTATATCAAGGTCCACAAGAAGGACACTGCCCTGGCCTTCGATACTCTCATGGTCCGCCACTGGGACGAGTTTATCCAGGAAAAGAAGAATAACATCTTTGTAGTTAAGATCAAGAGGAGCGGCGACAAGTTCGTGGTCGATGGTCACGCCATTAACCTCTTGCTCAACACTGGTCTGGAGTCGCCCACCATTCCCTTTGGTGACCAGGGCGACTACGATATTTCTCCCAACGGCCAGGAGATCGTCTTTGTCTCCAAGATCAACACCCCCGATAATGCCTGGCAGACAACCACCCACATCTACACCGTCCCTGTCACCGGCGGTGTCGTCCCCAAGAACATCAACCCCGAGAGTGTCGGAGCTGCCAGCCACCCAGTCTTCTCCTCGACCGGGAGGTCTATTGCCTACCTCCAGATGCTCAAGCCTCAGTACGAGGCTGACCGCAACAGGATTGTCGTTCACTTCAACGGACAGTCTCGCATCGTGGCCAAGGACTGGAACCGCAGCCCCAGCAGCATTCTCTTTGACAGCAAGGATGAGAACATCTTTGTCACGGCTGAGGATCAAGGACATGTCAAGGTCTTCAAGATCAACCTTCAAACCGAGTCCATCGAACCCATTGTGAATGAGCATTCTCAAAGTGGACTGAGCCTCATCGATGACAACACTCTTCTTTACTCCACAGCCTCCTTGACCAGCCCCAGCGACCTTTTTACCGTCGATATCAAGACCAAGGATATTCAGCGTCGCACTAATGTCCACGCCAAAACCCTCGCCAATGTCTACCTCGCAACTCCTGAGGACGTCTGGTTCAAGGGTGATCAGGGCAGAGACATCCATGGCTTCCTCCTGAAGCCCATCGGATTCGACCCTTCCAAGAAGTATCCTCTGGCCTTCATTGTTCACGGTGGCCCTCAGAGCGCCTTTAATGACAATTGGAGCACACGCTGGAATCCTAACATCTTTGCAAGCGCCGGGTTTGTTGTTGTCTTCTTGAACCCTACTGGATCGACTGGATATGGTCAGGAATTGACGGATGCGATCAACAACAATTGGGGCGGTTCTCCTTATATTGACCTGATGAAGGGTCTGGACTACGTTCTTGAGCACCATGCCTACATCGATCAGGCTCGTGTTGCTGCTTTGGGAGCCTCGTATGGTGGATATATGATGAACTGGATCAACGGCCACACCGACCGCTTCAACTGCTTAGTTAACCACGACGGCATCTTTGATACCAAGAACGGATTCTATGCGACCGAGGAGCTCTACTTCCCTGAGCACGAGTATGGTGGTGTCCCATGGGATCCCAAGGCCAAGGATAACTATGAGCGATGGAACCCCGCCAACTTTGTCCAGAACTGGAAGACACCCACTCTCGTCATCCACAGCGACAAAGACTATCGTCTGCCCGTCACTGAGGGTCTTTCAACTTTTACGGTTTTGCAGCGCAAGGGCATTCCTTCACGCTTTGTCTATTTCCCCGACGAAAACCACTGGTAAGTGCCATCGTGCTTTGATTTTCTGCAATAGTTCAAAAGGATCTGAAGTGCTTATACATCTACACATCTCATTACTATGACAAACAGGGTTCTCAAGGCTGCCAACAGCTTGCGCTGGCATGCCGAGGTCATCAACTGGATCCAAAAGTGGACTGCTGAGCCTAAACGGAACGTCAACGGCATGGAGGAGACATTTGTGTACGAGACCTCTCAGGTTCGCATCAATTAAACTCATGTATGTATCTATAATATTAAAGCACTCTTTCACAAACAAAGACAAACATTGGTCTATTTAAGCAGAAGAGTTTTCGCCTTCATCCATGTCCTCTTCTGAGTCTTGCCTTCCAGACTGGAAGCAAAGATTTGTAACTCGTGCATCAATTCAACAAGCAGAACCGTTGCTTCTTGACATTTATCCCCAATCCCAACGAGGGCGATGTTTCAGGCCCCAGACGACATGGTAAGTTGGCATCCTCATACGAAATAAGCGCCATTTTGCCTAAGAAACCCAGCGTTTTCGGTTCGCAGGGTGCGGTTGGTCTCAATGAATGAGCAGCAGTTCTCTAGGAATTGTGGATTCATTTTTCAGTTTTGGCATAGCTTGATCAACTGGAAAAAAAAAAATTGGTGGCGAAAACTAAATTGATGGGTGATTTTTAATGCATACGGTAACGGCCTAGAGGTGACCTCAAAAGAAAGTCAGGATCTGCCCAGACTGGAGCTATGGCTGCAGCCAGAACTTTGTGTCGACAAGCCTTTTCTTGCCCGGGAAGATACTCCTATTCTGTCGTGGACCCCCATTACCGACAATTGATTTTTATCGAAAGGGACGGGGATGACTTAGGCCTACTTGGAGGCCAAGGCCCAGCCCTTCAAAGATTGATAGAGGGCATGCATACCTCTGGGGAGCACCTAGCGGCCACGTCGTTTTTTCATTCCTGTTCCTATTTCCAGCGGTCAATACCGTATCCCATCCACCAAAAATGTTTTGATGGCAATCAACTCACACAGCAATAAAGACGCTGGTTAGCACTGCGCAGATAACATCCATACAAAAAGATGTCGCTCGACTCAGTTAGACTGCATTGAGAGGGGGCGTCGATTAAGATGAGAAGCGGCTCGAGAGTCTTCACCCAAATCCCAACCTTGTAGATCTGTAGGTTGACGTGAACCCAAGTCCTGCTCAAATGCGCCAAGAGCAGACCCAGGCCAACCTCAACGGGGAGACCTCTCTCATCCGTCCTCCTCAAGACCACCATACGGAAGGCTGTTCCATTCCTTTCGGCCCTACTGGTCGAATTGTTGCGATCTTGATGATTTTAGCTGGTTCGCTGCCAATACGCGAACGACGATATGATGTTAGCAGCACAGGAGAGGATCATACAAACCGTAAAAAACACAGAGTTCAGAATAGGATCAAGTACGCGACCCGCGACATTCAAGAGCCAAGCCGCAGAAAACAACGCGCCCCTTCGTAGTGTGTAGGCCATCTCGCCGATTGCTTCATCACGACCCAGGAAGAAAGCTCTCCATCTCCACCTCTATCCTCTATTTCGAACGTACTAGATCATCATTAGACAGCATACGCCATGTCTGATTCAGAGCACACGCCCATGCCCGAGGAGGATCCTACACATGGTCTCTTTGGCTCTGACGAGGACGACGAGGACGACGAGCAGCAAAGCCATAGCCAGAATCATAGCCAGGACCGGTCCCAGGACAACGCTCACCACCGCGGCTCGGACTCGGAAGGTAGTGTTCGTGGCTCGCCCGACAGACGCCAGCGTAGACGGAACAACCGTTTTTCTGATGACGAGGATGAAGACATGGATGGCGGACGGGATTCCAGAGACGAGTTCTCTGGAGGAAAGGTCAAAAGACCTGCCGGAAGGATCGATGACGATGACGACGAGGATGAGCAGCAGGAAGAACGCAGCCAGAAATCCGACAATGAAGACGACAGTAATATGCAACAAAGCCTTGGCGATCTGTTTGGAGACGAGGATGAGAGTGGCAGCGAGGAGGACGATAATCGAGACAGGCACCAATCGCACAGGAGGTAAGGGAAACACTACTCAACCTGCAACCATGATGTTTTTGTTGGCGGTACTATAAGGACTATGATTGCTAACGACTGTAAATTATGATGCCTGCATCAAATTGTAGATCGCCATCTATTGACGACTTTATTTCGGATGACGACTCCGATCGGGCGAGAAAGAGGAAGGACAAGCAAAGGAAACAAGAGCAGCGTCGCGAGGGATCTGATGATGATCGCGATCTCGATAACGACTATGGCAACTCTCAATCGAGGACGAGAGTCGAGAACAGGGCATCAGTCCAGCTGCCTGAAATTGGCTTCCCCTACAGCTCTGATGGCAAGGTACATAACTGAAATGCATTCCCCCACCCTCCCTCCACTTTCCAGCTTTTGAATCCTCGTTCAGCAAGATATAGCCACACGCCACCTTACAATCATACTCTTGTCCATTTCCGATTTAGATTTATTTGTCTCGTCTGCCAAACTTCCTGAACGTGGATACTAAACCATTCGACCCAGATACCTATGACGATGACCAGGAGAGAAATGGAGATGAATCTGAAAGCATGCAGAAGATCAAACTAAAGGTCGAAAACACAATCCGCTGGCGTTTCAAGGACGGACAGGACGACCCCAGCATTCTTACCAAGGACCGTGAGAAGGAGTCAAATGCTCGTTTTGTGCGCTGGTCTGATGGATCACTTTCGTTGGTTCTCGGAGACGAAATGTTCCAGGTCAATGCTCAGGCGCTTCATAACCAGCATCAATTCTTGGTGGTCCACCATCCTTCGGAGTTGATGTTACAGACCCAGCAGGCGTTCACAGATACCTTGACCTTCCAGCCACAGTCGACGCAATCGTCAACGCATCGTAAATTGACAGCAGCCATCGCGGGCAAACATGTTAAGAGTGTCAAGACCGTGATGGTGGCAACCTTGAGTGATCCCAAGGCTGCCAAGGAAGCAATCGAACAGCGCGAGTTGGAGCAGGTTCGCAGTCGTCGCAAGGTTGCTGCAGAGAGGAGCAGGCACGCTAGAGCAACTGGACTCACTGCCAGTGGACTGGAGGAGAGCGATGGCGAGCACGATGATGAAGATGACGAGGACTTTGAAGCCGAAGAGGAGAGAAGACGCGAGAAGATCATGGTAAGGATTTTTTTATATGTCAATACTAGATGCGCCTCTATGGCTCCTTTTTGGTAGCAGTAAGTTTGCATCGTAACTAATGCTCATTTCTGTTAAATACCATAGTCTATCAAAAAGTCCGGATCGGATAATTACAAGTCCAGGAACCGTTACTCGAGCGATGAAGATGATAGCATGGAAGACGAAGATGATTACGGCGGACGTGGGCGCCAAAGAAGGGATAGAAGCCGTGAGCGGGATCGTAGTCGTGAGCGAGATCGCAGCCGTGACAGGAATCGCAGCCGTGACCGCAGTGGAGATCGACACCGCCGTCGCAGTCCCAGCCGCAGCAGGAGCAGAAGCAGAAGCAAGAGCCATAGCCGTAGTCGCAGCCGTAGTCCTATCCGTCGTCATGGCGGCAGCAGCAGTCGTGGTGGTCGTGGTCGTAGCTACAGTCGTAGTCCCAGTCGCAGTCGGAGCCGAAGTCGGAGCCCACGTAGCCCGGGCAGCCCTCGGCCGAAGCGTCGTTCTGGCAATGATCGGAATCGGGATCGGAATGAGGACGCGGATGATGATCGCGAGCAGCAGAGAAGGGTGTCTGAAGACGAGAGACAGCATGATGAGGATGAAGATGAGGAACAGGCTGTGCAGAGACGGCCCAAGAAGAGAAGGACTGCATTGGACAGTGACGAGGAGTAGGAAGATGATCTCCTCTTTTGACATACGAGAAGCGCATGCATCCACACCACACGCATAGGCACACATGCGGCAATAAACAGTACTCATCAATTGGATGATATCGAGTCATCGAACAGCAGTTAAATCGTCGAAATGAAGAGGGAGTGATGTTTAGATGCTGCTGCTTCGCCGAATAGTGACTTTTTGCGGAGATTTCCATAAGCAGACAGGAGAACAAACAAAGATCAATCTTCCATTCCTCTCATTCTGCAGTTCCTTCATTCCATTACAAATGAACCTTGTCTCATACCGAAGTGCTTCTCGTGCTTGGAAGGCACTTCACGGCAATCTTACTACCCCAATGGCTCTGTTACCTTCTGTCCCTGGAAGGCGCCCACTGCTCCACGCCAGTAATAGATTCCTTAGTGCGGCAACGCATGGTATGCCTCATAAACAAGTCGCCCTCCAGGCAGAGAGATCGGGCTGGATCAGGTACGGGACTGCTTCCAATGCCCAATTGCAGTTGGATCCGCACTCACACTCTCGGTAAGATAACCAGATCGGATGCGCCCCTCTTTCGGCGGCAATTACCCAGCACTCGATCAAAGCTCATTTGATTGATCTGAGACAGTTAATGACATGACATTGCTAGTAATCATACGGGGCTGCGTGCTAGTATGTTGTCGCAACAGCAGCAGCTCATGATGGCATGTGGAAATCAAAGCCGGGTAGCCGGAATGGATCAAATGTCTCATACAGAAAAATATAATTCGATAACTGTACATCCTTGCATGCCCATTTGGCTTATATGGCAATGGTGCAACTAAATTATGGTATTTTGGAAACCGTGCGCGCATGCTTGTGAGTGTATAAGGGAAAAGGGTTTTTTACCTTGCGGGCGCGCGTTCTGAGACATTGACCACAACAATGACACCTCAACTGGTCAGCAAATAAATAACGCATCGCATCCTTCTCATAAGGTCCTCTTTTTTATTTTATTCTTCCCCTTCACTCTCTCTTTTTCTTCTTCAGCTCATCTTTGTTTTTTTTTCTTTTTTTTTGTTCGCCTCTGATTCTACAGCTGTACTCTCGACAGGCGACTCAAGCATCCTAGGACCGGACTATCAACCCACGTACAATTTCACACCTCGACGACGACTTTGTTCGTAACCAACAGCACCAGATTCAACACAGATATAACACCGAACAACAAAGTCATCATGTCTGAAAAAGTCGCGCTCATCGGATCAGGCAACTGGTAAATGGAATTCACATTGTCCATTGCAGTGGAATGAACGAACTTGTCATGGAAAATGTGTTCGCCCAAAAAGAAACACCCGTGGGAAAAAAAATCAGGGACCCTGAGTAAGAGATGGAACACTAAACTATCTCTTTTTGTTTGTTTTTTTCTTACTGTTTCTGTTCTAGGGGTTCAGCAGTAGCGAAAATCATCGGAGGCAATGTCCACAATTTCGAACATTTTGACAAAGAGGTCAAGATGTGGGTGTTTGAGGAACAAGTCGATGGACAGAACTTGACCGACATCATCAATACCAAGCACGAAAACGTCAAGTACGTATCTTTTTCTCTCTCTCTCTGTCTGTCTGTCGTTTCTTCATCGTTTAAGAAAAACATAAGAAAAAAAGGTCCGATCGTGGGGTGGGATGCAATGGGCTTGGTTTGTGGCAATGGCTATGAGCTATGGTGTTCGGTTTTCCCCACTTTGCGTACTGCTGATCATTCAGAACAAAACTCTCTTTTGGTTTTGGTGGGGTAAAAGTGATAAAAAAAAAGTTTATGGAGACGCGATATCTTTATGATGAGATCTCTCTCCATTTTCATGGCAAGAACGACCGATGGATGAGATCCGCATATTTTTTTTGTTGGTGTGATGCCTTGTAAAGGCGATAAGCTCTGCGTAGGACTATGGGGCAAAAAAAAAAAAAAAAAAACTGGATCTCTTGGGATTAAAAGGGACGCGCATTATCTCGGACCTGTTTGGGTCACACAACACGACAAATCATCTATGCAAGGGAAAAAAAAATGGCCATCATTGCTGCGATAACACCGATCCGCGGAACCGTTTGTCTAATTCTTTCGTTTCGTGCTGTCGTGTCTCTTTTTTTTTTTTTAGATACTTGCCTGGAATCAAATTGCCCGAGAATGTTGTAGCTTGCCCGGATCTGGTTCAGACGTGCTCAGACGCCACAATGATTGTCTTTGTTGTTCCTCATCAGGTATGAACCTAAGAAGTTTGTTCTCGAAAACAATTTTTTTACGCTTTCATTCAGAAGCGCGCAAGGGACGAGGAGTGGAGTAGTCAAAGAAGCAGTGCTCGGGACTCTCCCCTCCTATACACTGCTTCGATTGAATCGCAGTTACAGGATAACCGTTCAGAGTGAGAACGGCTCAGGGCGGGTAAATCCTTATAAAGAGGATTGGCGATGATGGCTAGTGTTTACAGAGCATGTAGGACAAAGGGGCTGTCGGATCCCGAATGCCTAGGGATCGCGCATAGCAATGTGTGAGAAGAATTAAGATAAATGTGTTTGCGGAAATTCTGATTTCTAATGATGATCCACAAATACCTTTTTGTACTCCCTTATGTATGACTAGTTTGTTGCCGGTGTCTGCAAACAACTGAAGGGCAAGATCCCAGCCAACTGCAAAGCAATCTCGTTGATCAAGGGTATCGATTACAACGACGGAGGATTCCGACTGATCTCGGATATGATCCAGGATGCCCTCGGAATCCGGTCCTGTGTCTTGAGTGGAGCCAACATTGCAAGCGAGGTCGCAGAGGGACGATTCTGTGAGACGACGATCGGCTATAGAAACAGGAATGATGGCGAGTTGTTCAGGGATATTTTTCACACGCCGTATTTCCGAGTTAATATTGTTGAGGATGTGATTGGGGTCGAGTTGTGTGGTGCACTCAAGAACATCATTGCAATCGGAGGTGGACTGGTCGATGGACTCAAGTAAGTCGTCGCTTTGAGAAAGATGGATCTGTATGCACTTTCATAATTTAGGCGGCACCTAGGTCTGACATTGCATTACACACGCGTCTTGTTGTTTGTTCAAACTAGGCTGGGCGACAATACAAAGGCAGCGATCATCCGTATCGGATTGGCCGAGATGCGCAAATTTGCGCAGATGTTCTACAAGGATGTCAGGGACGCGACGTTTTTCGAGTCGTGCGGTGTTGCGGATCTGATCACGACGTGTGCCGGCGGCCGTAACCGCAAGGTGGCCGAGGCACATGTGACAACCGGCAAGTCGTTCGACCAGCTGGAGCAGGAGATGTTGAACGGACAGAAGCTGCAGGGTACATCGACTGCGAAGGATATGTACAAGATCTTGTCAAAGAAGGGGCTGTGCCATGAGTTCCCGTTGATGACGACGATCTACAGAATTTGCTATGAGGACCTGCCGCCGATCAAGCTCGTTGAGGATATCTAGGATGAGCGTGTTGCAGGGTTGCATGCGGAAGAATGGGCAAAGAAGAAGTATAGGTGAGGCGCCTTTTCCAGATAAACTAGCACGTTACACATTCGCAATGGATTGCAGCAGAAAATCTGTTTTTACCGCCCCGTCCGGACATAAAATTGTTGTCACTTTCAGGTGCAATGCAGTGGTGCGCTTAAAATGACAATGGTAGCCGTTCTTGGTGTAACTGGTGCACGGCATCTTTCCGAGGTTCTGCCCCCCCTTCCCCCCTCCCCCCTCCCTCCTCCTTCCCTTCATGAGAAGTAATAATAATTCCGATGGATTCAGCGTTAGGGAAAAGCACATGGAAGTAGCATATGGGGCTGGCTACTTGGTTCTAATTGGCTAAAGAAGAAGCGCGTGAAGATACACAAAATACAAATGTCATCGTGTAGCGGAGAATGAGTGAGAATATTCGGCCGGGAGAACGCCCTCGATGACGGTATTAGTGGCAACCAATGAGATTAGATGGGGCGGGGGGGAAGGATCGCGTCGAAAATAGCTCCTCATGCATGCATATTTCTATGGACTCGCGAAGCATTGACCACAATCTAGAAAGATCGCTCTTGACGCGTCTACAGCTGAGCGGACCGCACTAGTCTAGTTGCTGCTCTCAATCCAGAGAATACAAAGTGGCTACGCAGATTTGCTCACCGGCCTATCATAAGTTGAGACTATACTCTCACCAGCCCTGACAACAGTTTCAAATGAAACCCTGTTGGAATGAGCATGGGCCCTCCTTTTGGGCGCCTGCTCTTTCATTTATTTTCATTTATTTCACACAAACAGCCTATCAGTTGGCTTGTTTGCGTCTGTTTTTGGTACCCTGCTTCTCTCCTCACCCCCTTCCTTGTCCATAGAACTATCATGTATCTCCAATATTCATTTCCACAAAATAAAAATAAAAAGGGACGTGCCCTACTTCTGATAAAGTAAAATAGTTTAAAAAATATGATAGCGACAGAGCGAAAGGTAGATAGGAAACAATACTGAATGAGGAAATTGCAGATATGATGAACCAAGTGAGCAAAAGGAAGAAGAAGGAAAAGAATGGCTAAGGGAGAGGAGCCAAGGGATGGGCGAGGGGCAGACCATGTGCACACTTCCTACTTAAGCATTTTTAATTATTTTATTTTTATTTTATGGTAGAGAACGATTGACTGAGGGATAGAGAGGCAGGGGAAAAGGAACAGGGGGCTCTCTTGCCTTAATGGACTGCGGTAGATACGGCATGTCGTTTACGGGTGGTCATAGACAAGGGGGCAGGTTATGGGGGCAGCAGGGTGCGAGGAGAAAGCAAGATTGAAGGGCGCATGTGCCAAACCGTAAAATGAAGCGAGAGCTAGTGCGTTTGCCGCAACAACTACTGTGTTGCCTGGTATCTGTCAGAGATGACTGATGATGCCATTTGTACGAGTTTTTCTGTTGTGTCTAGATGCGACCACAGCGAATTGATAAATGTTTTCTCTTTCAAGAGATATGACATGCGATTTAGTCTATGTAATCACATTGTAGCTGAATTAATAATGTCGTGGATTGTTATTGTGCCTTGCGGATCAAATAATAGGTAACGTCAAACAGAGCGCGGAAGGCAGGGTGTCACAGAAGAAGAACGAAAAATAACCGACTATGAAGAGAAAGGAAGAGAGTCCATGAAGAGAAGAGTAGGGGAGGACAAGATAGGGGAAGAGAGGAGTGGAAAATTGGGTGGGGCGAAGGAAAAGACGGCGAGGATGCGGAAATGGTAGTGAACGTGTTCCTCCTGCATTTGTCCTATGATATATTCTAAATCCTAGGAGAGAAGAAGAGTGGAATTGTTTCCATATTATACACACGCAGTGTATACACATGCACTGTTGCATGTATGTTTGTATGAGTATGCATCCAGTGCGTTGTACAGGCAGAAATTGCAGTTCACTATAAGATAGACATGATAATTTATGGAGCATGGGGTAAATGGAAGAGATGTATAGTTGTGGCAAGTGACAAGCAGAAGAAAGGCACGAGCGCGTCCTCGTTCAGGTAGAGACACACAGGCACAGACACAGACACAGGCAGCAGGCATAGGAACAGCTACAGGCACAAGAACAGGAACGGGAACGGGAACAGAAACAGGAACAGGAACAGGTACAGGTACAGGTACAGACATGCCAATAAACCTAATAGTGTGCAATGGCGAATTGGATGGGGCGTGCCTTTTTCCCCTCTTTCTTCTTTCTCCGTTGTGTCCTCCCTCCCTCTTGGTTCCCCTCCTTCCTTCTTCTTCCTTAAGAGAAGACTCATTCTCCACCTCATTGCATTTTTTTCCTTCGTCTCATTCATTCAACTTGTTCCTCATCCCACCCTCACCCGTCGTTTTTCTTTATTTTCCCCCCATATCTCTGTCTGTATTTTTTCTCATGCACAGCAGCACAGTAGAGCACGCTTTCTTATTATCGCCTTACCCCACACCGTTCTATCCCCTGCATCCAATCCAATGCGCATCACAGACATCCCCGCAGAGTGCATCCTCCGTGTAGTTGAGTTCCTCGACCTGCCTGACCAGCACAGTCTTCTCCTGACCTGTTCGGACCTCTTCTCGAAGGTCGTCCCTGGACTCTACCGGTCGCCCTTCAGAGCCATCCTCGCCTATGACCAATGGCGACTCGCATCATCTTCCTTATCTCCCTTATCTCAACCATCTTTACCGTCACCTTCACGTCCAACCCCAACTACGACTACGATCACACACCGCCCTTCTCTCTCCATCATTACCACTACTACAGCCACCTCTACTCGCCACAGGCTAAATAGTAACTACCCCAATAATATCAATGTCAGCACACCACAGCACAGCAGTGTCAACGCATTCGCTAACGCAAATAACAATGTGAACACCAGCGCCAACACCGGCCCCATTGCCCCCCTCGGAGGTGGAGGAGTCCATCGGCCCCAAAACATCTCCACTTCCTCCGTATCATCCACTGCATCCACTACATCCACTGCTACCTCTTCGTACTCCTCCACTAACAATAACAACGATCGCACTACCAACTCACCGACAACAGCAACCTCTTCATCGTCCAAACAAATTGATCCCTTCACCAGTCTCCTCCTTCGGACCCATGGTTGTCCATCCCCACCTCGCCATACTACCGCGCAGAAACAAAGCCAAGGTCACCAAAAAAGACCTGCTTCCCTACAGCGCCGGTCCTATTCAGAACATCCAAAGGGCACCAGCAGCAGCAGCGGCGGCGGCAGTACTGTTACCTCTGTCAGTCAAGTCAATCTGCGATCTAGGAGCAACAACGGCAATGACTACAGTCACCATATTTTCAACAGTAGCATCTCAAACACTCATCACTACCCGAGCATCAACAGCAACAACAACTGCTGCTGTTACAATGGCACACAAATCAACATTAAGGCTCGTACTACTATCAATCCTCTCGCGCAACTAAAGCTGAACAAAATCACTCGGCTTCTCCAGCTCCTGATCTCTTGCACCTCTGTCCAGGCACGTCTTCCTGCGCTACGGTACCCTGGTTACGGGCAACAATGGATCCGGCCGCCATGCTATGTCGATTATCTTCAGCACTATATTGATCAGCAGGAAAGCGGTCAGAGCTTGATCCAATGCTTTCATCTGCTCTTTGCAAACCTGGTCCAGTGTCGATGGGACGATGAGGCCCAAGGGCTCGGCGTGCCCATCGCTCCACCGGATAAAGAGGCCTATAGGGTTCTTCACCAGATCCAAAAAGAGTTTATGACGCATAGCGCGGCGAAGATACGGACATTGTCAGTCTCGGTGGCTCATACCGTTGAACATGCAACAGAGCTGGTACCGCAGTTGGCGGCGGTGACGAAGCTGGAGCTGACAGACGTGGAGGATCCGGAATTCAAAGTGGATGAGGCGGTTGATTTTATAAAGTCGCATCGGATGCTGTTTGGGCATGTTATTAGAGATGTCAGGTTGGTCGATAAGGCGGCTGTGACACCAAGCTCGTCGCCAACCTCCCCGTCATCGCCACCGCTTTTGACGACTGCCTCGCCGACGATTAACACGGCAGCAGCGCATGCGTTTGCGGCCTACGCCTCAACAACTCGTTTCATGGGGATCCACAATAACCATAATCATCTCCTCGCGGTGATGGATACGCTCAAGAATCTGGAACGGATCGACGCTACGGCCTGGGCGAATTGCATCTTACATCTAGACGCCATTCCAACCACACATCTCAAACGTCTTTGGCTTTCGTTTGCGTTCCCACCCTCAGAGACCGTCGACAGCAAAGCTGCGCGACTGTCCGAGTACTTAGACCGATGCCGGAGACTAGAGGAGGTCCGGATCCCGATCCGACGGGCAGACGTCTTTCATTGGGCCCTACAGGAGAAGAAGACAGCATTGATCTGTGCGCCGATCTTGGCGAGCTCAAAGACAAAGAGATTACCACGGATTCGTAGGATCCATCTCCAGGGCCCGAGTCTGGAACTGATGGATTGTGTTCAGGACGCGGTTTTTGCATTCCAGGATACGCTCGAGGATCTGGAGGCACGGTCGCGGTTGAGGGTATGGCAGCCGACGACGCTGAGCTGGAAGTGTATCCTTCCGAGACTGACATGTCTGAGGCTCGAAGGAGAGATCAGTATGCATTTCTGTATGGAGACGTTGGAGCGATGTCCAGCGCTTGAGGAGCTATCTTTGGCGACAGCCACAGCGGAGGATTATAGATTTCAGCAATCAGGGTATGGGTATGGGCACAGACATGGGCAGATACAGCAGGATCCAGGTTCAAACCTGCTGTTGTTTATTCGCTCGAGAGAGATGTACAAGATCGGATCGCTTAAATGGTTGAGGTCCTTGAGTTTGATAGGGCCCTGGCAGATCCCGGATATGGCTCTGAGAAGGATTGCAGATCGATGCGAACATCTGAAGGAACTGGCTCTGGATCAGACGATGGGGTCAACGATCGGGGGCGTGCTGTTGGCGGTTGAACGGATGCAAAGACTCGAGAAATTGGATCTGTGTTTGGATATTGTGGATCTGCGATTGGTAAAAGTTGCAGCGAGGAAACTGAGGTTCTTGTCGTCAGTGCGACTGACCAACTTGCGAAGCGAGGAGTATTAAAGCGCGATCAGTAATAATAAACTGCTTTTGGTGCGAGGGTAGCAGTTACGCATGGGGTTGGCGCCCCAAAGATCCAAGGCAGCCCGGACTAGACCCTTATAAAAGCTGGTTAGGTAGACTTGCCACCAATTTGGGTTTCGCCACCATTTTTCTTTTATCCCTGTCTTTGTCCAGTCCAGTTGATCAAATTGTGCCAAAGCTGAAAGAGAACTGGGTCAAGCTCGTCGTGCTCTGCTCATTCATTGAAGCCAACCACACCATGCGAGCCGGAAACGCCAAGTTCCTTAGGCAAAATGACACTCATTTCGCATGAGGATGCCAACTTGATATGTCGTCTGGGGCCTGAAACATCCAAAGTCTATAGCAGTACAAATGAACTTTTTTTTTTTGTCGCTACTAGTCGAGTATTTGAATATTACGTGGGGTTTATTGCGCTTTTCATGGTAACGCGATGGGCTGAGTCTTCTCCGCCAGCCAAAAGACCGCCCATCGGAACTGCCAAAGGATCATCATTCGACTCACAAGCAGCAGCGTCGGCAAAAGACAGATCAAAAACGGGACTGCCAGGGATCCCAGTGTCACGACCAAGACAAACACCGCCAGCGCAAACATGAACTTCCACAGCAAGAAATAAAACAAGACACTGATTGTATGTTGATCACTGACCGTCGCCCACAAATGGGCTGCGCCCCGATCCCACAAATTCCTATACCGCTGCTGTCTCCTCCTAGCTATTGCCGTTCCTGATTCAAATATCGGCTTTGGCAATCCGACAAAGACCTTGGCGGTACGGTGTGTATACTTTTCCAGAGCTTTGTAGTCGACCAAGGATCGTGACACAACCAGATCGACTCTTGCGAGGGCTCTCCAAGAGGTGACGGTGGCGACCATGCATAGATATCCAATCGGGGGAATAATCATGCTCACGGCTGCGATGATGGCTGTCACCAATGTCCAGACAAAGCAAAACAGTGCCCAGGGGAAAATAACGGCGATATTATAGGCAAGGCCCATCCAGGCCTTGCCGTCGCCGACAATGCTCCAGTGCGACTCTGGGGCGTCATCTTCGTCGTCGTGTTGTGCGTAAGTATGAGGGGATTCGGCCTCGGTGCCGAGGAGGCGATCCACATCCCGAGAGTGCAAGGCATCATCTTCGCGACCATAAGAAACCTGGCCTTGCAGGAGGTTGGGTGCGGAGGGTTGGGCTAAGGGTGATGAAGAAGACGATGGGCTGATGGCGCCGTATTGGGCGGTTTGTGTTGGAGGCAGCGAGGAGGAGGGGTCTGGTCTACTTGGACCTCCGCTTCCACTTCCGCTGCCGGACTGATAGTAATGGGAGGACGGCGTCGAATCTAGTGGTATCCTGGTCTTGATATCAAGGCCACGTTGGCCGGGAGGTCCTCGAAGATGGTCGTAGTTGTCATGAAGCTGGGGGATATCTTTGATAATCGTGGCCTCGTATGAAGGGGGTGCGTCCTCGAACATTCCTTGGTGGGAAGATTCTCCAGCTCTGGTTGTTGTTTTATAAGTGGCTGTAGCTGTAGTAGTCGTGGTTCGTATGGCTGCCTCGAGACTGGGTGCCGAGGGCTGAGCAAGCGGGATGGTTGGGGAAGTAGGAAGTGCCAAGTGGATGGGTTGGCTCTCGGATAGGTTTTCTTCATAGCGGATGGGTGCTTCGTTGCCAAAGGTGGTCGAAGCGCTGTCATTGTTTTTCTTCTTCTTCTGAGCAGCGCTGAGGTAGGTGGAGGGGACGCTCTGCCAAGGCTGGCCGTCATCGAAGGGATCATTTGGGTCGAGGGATGACATTACTGAGAGGAAGGAAGGAAGGTGGAGATGAGGAATGAAGAAAGTGTGAGAAGAATAAAAGACAGAGGGCGAGGGACGAAAAACATTCTTGGCATTTTAACGCCGTCTAACCTTATGAAAAAAGCCTGTGCAGCTGTAAGCTATCATCAGGGCACATTACGCTGAGGGCATATCTGTAGAAGGAATAATATACACGGTTTATTTTTGCAATGAAGAGAGACGGATTAGATTTCACTTGAGCACAACGGCCGCATTGCGCAGACCGAGGTACTGCTGCACGACGCCAATGGGATGGTTCTTGATCGACTGGTACACCTCCGTCGAATGATACCGCAGCCGTGTCTTTGGGTCCGTGTAGCGAGCCTAGATAAACCATACCAATTGAAAATACTTGTTTAAATGAACCGACATCCATCGACATCATTCAAAGACCGCTACTTATTCTCTGCTTTTCTGTGCTCACCTCCAGTCCGGTAATGTCGCAGTACTTTTTCTGTGGAGTCATCGATGGCAGTGCCTCAATATTCCAGTCTACAATTGCAGATGGCAATAGGTATAAAGCAATTGTCAGAGAGAAGCATTGCAGCGAGTCGATGCTGAGCAAATGCGTCGCTAACGCTGATTCGATCAACTTACAAGTTGGAGTGCTTGTTTTCCACTCCTTGGCCTTTTCCAGGGTAATGATCTGCTTCAAGTTCTTTGTCTTTTTGGACGCATGCCATCCTGATTTCTTGAAGGGCTTGTGAATATGCGCCATGTTCAGTACTCCAGGAACTCCTTGATTTGGCTGATCAAGTGTGCCGCTGCTGGAGCTCGAAGGCGATGCAGAAATGGAGGATGCAATAGAGGAGGCCCCAGTAACCTGGTCATCGTCCTCCTCATCCTAGTCGGGGCGAGTTCGTTGTTGTTTTTGTTGTTGTTGTTGAACAAGGACGACGATTAGAACACTCAACGGCGTTGCTTTCCTGGGTTGACATGCACTCATGGACGAAAACCACCTCCCGTTTTACCTTTCCTTTGCGCGTAAATCGGCCCTTGCTGGATTTTGATTTGGCGACCCTATTAAGTTGATGAGCGACAAGGAAGATCAACACGTTGGCCTCCAATCGGTCGTCCGACAGAGTTGATGAAATGCTTTCGACTATAGCTCCTCCTTGCTGCTGAATCGTTAATGGACTGGTGGACGTACATTGCTGACTCTGCTTTTGCGTGATTGGTTAACTGGAGAGCTGATGGACGGGAAGAGTGAATTGTGTGCAGCATGTCGTGCAACATGCCCCATGGATAGCCCTTAAGGTTCGCTCTACGCCCCGAATGCGTGCTTCTCGTTCAAGGATCATCATCATTCTTCATTCTCTTTCGCCATCAGTCCATCCTTTCCCATTGATACCTGTCAAGGGTTGAGCGAACCAGAGAACGTACTCGAGGCGGTTGAACAGTATCCTCAGGCCCCCAAACAGTCAAGGAGTCTCTCATCAGACTGTAAGGATGATCTTGATCCCCTTGCATGGAAAACATGCCGCCTCGGTCTCTTCACACTTCATCAACCTCTAACCACAGCCTCACGTACTCTTGCTACAGGCTTATTCTTTCAGATACAAAAAGCAATGTCAGGGTACCCTCAGCAGCAGCAGCGTCCAGTTTACTCTGGGCAGCCTGGACAGCAAGGACCTCCGCCAGTTCAGGGACAATTTACACCAGGACCCAACGGACACCAGGCACAACAGCAGCAGCAACCATCACCCTTTCAGCAGCATTCAAATTTAGCACCAGGACCATATGCTAATAACCTTCGCACTGGAGCGCCCATGCCTGGCAACTCTGTTATTAGACCAAACAATGCCCCTCTAGGAGTTCGTCCTATGCAGCCCGGTAAGAAAACAGAGCAACTATACGAGAGCGACATGTACTACTCTGGACACTAGGCCCCTAACATGCACTCATTGATCTTGGCATATTAGGCCATGGATCTCCCGCTCGGCCACCAGTCAATGGGGTACCATATCAGCAACAACAGCCGCCACAACAGTATGGAGCTCGACCTACCCCTGGATCTCCTGCAGGAGCAAGGCCCCCGCTAGGGCCACGTCCCCCTCTTCCTCCAAACCAGCAGATCAGGACTGCATCACCGTTGCCCGGCCAATCCCCAGGACAACCGCCACATGCTCCGTCCCCACGCCCTATCCATATGACCCAGACACCCACCCCCATGGGTACTCCTGGACCCATAGGCCAAAACGTTCACTCGCCTTTCCAGCACCCTCAACAACCATATCAGAGATCTGGAACTCCACTGGGACAAAAACCGCCAACACCATCTCAGCAGTCGCCTTATCAGCAGCAGCAGCAGCACCAGCAGCCACAGCAGCTGTCGACGCCTCCACCTGCAACCCCAGATCAGAATGGAGGTAACATGAACGGGCTCACCGGCCAAATGTCGAGCATGTCAGTTGGTTCTAGTGGAGCAGTAAACCAGCAGGCCCCTGGGTTCTCGCCGATCCCACCCCAAGGGCTGCCTGTGCAAACAGAGGTATGGATAGCGTCTTACGCCTACTGGTCTTTTCAACGCAGTTGCGCCCAAATCGCTGACGCGTTGTTTTATTTGCAATTAATAGTTCAAACCAAAGGCCGGAGCAAGGGCCAAGCGTGTCTTTGCTACGGATCCTTCGGCCCCATCGCCACCTCAAGGGCAGGTTGGATTTATGCCCCCGCTTCCTCAATCTGGAATGAACACTCTTGATACCCAGAACAATATGCAACAGCAGCAACCCCAGCCTTATGGTTCACAAAATTTTGGACAGCCGATGAATCAAGGATACCCTCAGCAACAGCAACCACCTACGCCTTATCAGCAGCAACCGCCTCCTATGATGAACCAGCCGCCTATGCCGCAACAAGTCATGAGTCAGCAGCAGCAACAGTTTAGACCGCAGTCAAACCAGCCCCCAGTGCAACCTGCTTCAAAATCAAGGATCGATCCCGATCAGATCCCATCGCCTGTCGCTGTTCAGGAGGCGGACCAGGTAGAATGGGATGAGAAGCCATTTATGACCTCATCTAGAACGCACGTTACTCCTCTCGCCAGTTCCGACTTTATGGCGATCGATGAAGGTATCGTTGATGCTGCTGTTCTTTGCTAGAAATTGATTATGATAAACTTTTGATCGACGGGACGACTGACACCTGGAATGTATGATCAATAGGGAACTGCAACCCCAGGTTCTTCAGGATGACTACCTATAACGTTCCTAATACGGAGGAGCTCTTGAATACTTCGCAATTACCCATGGGTCTCATCATCCAGCCATTAGCAAATCTCCGTGCTAATGAGGTTCGTAAATCTTCCAAGGCAACTTCATTCTGAACCTGCACGCCAAAATTGCGTACTAATAGTAAGGCAAATTTTTACATACTAGGCTCCCATTGAAACGGTCGATTTTGGTGAGTCGGGTCCGACCAGATGCCGTCGCTGCAACGCCTATATCAACCCTTTTATGATCTTCACCAACGGAGGCCAGCGTTTTGTTTGCAATATGTGTCTGTTTGAGAACGATGTCGATCCTGGTTACTTTTGTAACTTGGACATGAGTGGCCGTCGTTTGGATCTGGACCAGAGGCCAGAGTTGCGAAACGGCACCATCGAATTTGCGGTTCCAAAGGAGTACCACAACAAGGCACCGGCTCCTGCCGCATATGTCTTTGCGATCGACGTGTCATGGACCGCCATCCAGAATGGCATGCTGGCGCAGTGCGTGACTGGTATCAAGCGTGCTGTGTGGGATGAAAATGGCGCATCGAGGCTGGCTCCCGGTGCCCAGATTGGCATCCTAACATATGACAAGACTGTGCATTTCTACAACATTTCGGTATGTGCTGATAATCACGCGTATTGTTGGCAAGTCTTGATAGTATGGGCGAGGACTAATGTAGGATTTCCACGCATGCTGGGATAATAGCCAAACTTAGAGCAGGCACAAATGATGGTTGTCCCGGATGTCAACGATGTCTTTGTGCCTCTCAGCGATGGATTCTTGGTCAACGCTGAGACCTCAAAGTGAGTGGACATTTCTTTGGCTGTTGATTAATCTCCTTCGAAAAGAGTGTATACGATTAACCTTCGTTTGTCTGATTTGCTCTAGGACTATTGTGGAGACGTTATTGGATTCTCTCCCGCAGCTTTTTGCCGAAAACAAGACAGCAGAGACCGTTATCGGTGCTGTCGTCCAGGCTGTGCGTGAAGCATTGGAACACCGCGGAGGGAAGTTGATCCTTTTTCAGACTGCTCTTCCAACATACGGACCTGGTGCATTGAAACACCGCGAGGACCTCAAACTTTATGGCACTGACAAGGAGAAGATCCTATATGCACCTCAGGATGACTTCTACAAGAATTTGGGAGAGTCATGCGTCGATGCTGGTCTTTGCGTTGATCTGTTCCTTTTTCCGAATGCCTACATCGACGTCGCCACCCTGGGGTGTTTGTCGAGTATCACAGGAGGCGAGACGCTCTTGTTCCCGAAATTTAATGCCTCGCGGGATGGCGCGAAACTGATTGGAAACATTTCCAAGCTCGTAGGACGGCCGTTCGGATTTGATGCTTTGATGCGAGTGCGTTGCTCCGCTGGTCTGAAAATCACGGAGCACCTTGGAAACTTCCATATGAGAAATAGTACAGATGTGTCGTTGGCGGGAGTGGATTCGGAGAAAGCATTTGGGGTGTTGGTGAAGCACGATGGCAAGCTGGACGAGAAAACGGAGGCGTCGTTCCAGGTCGCGTTGCTGTATACAACGGCAGACGGACTGAGGAGGGTGAGGGTGCATAACTTTAGCACGCCGGTGACAACGTTACTGGGCAATGTGTTCCGCTGGGCGGACATGGATACGACCATTAACTTTTTGATCAAAGGAGGTAAGGGGGAGTCAAAAAAAAACGCGAATCGAAGATTTCCTTACTCTGCCGTATTGTTTGCGTGGCACTTATGCTAATGTGCTAATGTTTGCTGCTTTACTCGCTCGATAGCGATCTCGCAAGCATTGACCAAGCCTTTGAAGGATGTGCGAGATGCGTTGACAGACAAGTGCGTCAGGATCTTGTCTTCATACCGCAAGAACTGCGCTTCGTCTACCGCTCCAGGACAGGTGGGCACCTTTGATGTGTCTGCGTCCTGATATCTTGTTCATGGAAAATACATTATGCTAACGGCCTCGATTATTCTCTCATAGCTCATCCTTCCCGAGTCGTTCAAGCTGTTCCCTCTGTATGCGTTGACATTCCTCAAATCCAAGTCGCTTCGCGCGGGCAGGGATATCAACAGTGATATGAGGGTGCACCAAATGCGCATGCTCAAAAGTATGGGCGTCAGCGAATCGATCGCATTCCTGTACCCGCGCATGATCCCCGTTCACGAAATGGATGACAAGGTATACTGCAGCCCCTGTTTCCTTTCATCTTTTTCTGAGTTCATTCTGCAAATGAAAACAAGGAAACTAAATCAAAATGGCTGTCTTTACTCAATACTAGGTCGGTGTACAAGACGCGACGGGTCGTGTCCGATTGCCACCCTTGATCCGTGTCTCATACGCCCGCCTAAACATGTTGGGCGCGTATTTGCTTGAGAACGGGCAGGCCACGTACCTTTGGCTCGGACGCGAGATTTCACCGCAGTTCCTGCAGGATGTCTTTGGTGTACCGACCTTAGACGTTGTTGATCCAACAATGGTAAATGTTTAAAATATTGTAGTGGTTTTTAGATGTTTGTTATTATGGTCCGATCATATTGACACCGTATTTTATTTCCCCTGTGCCACAGCACCATTTGCCAGAGCTGACGAGCCAGACAAGTACACAGCTGCGAACGATCATCTCGTACATGCAGAGCCAAAGGAGCAAGTACCTGGACCTAGTGGTGGTCCGTCAAGGATTGGACCAGTCTGAGCTGGAGTTCTCGAACCAGTTAGTCGAGGACAAGAACAACGAGGCCATGTCGTATGTCGACTATCTGTGTGCGATCCATCGCATGATCCAGAACGGGGTCTCCTCGAAGCCGATTGAGTCCTCATCGATGGGAATGTGGACTACCCGTTAGATGACAGAAGGGTTGAGGACGTAGATACCAGAGGGTAAAAATGAAACTAGAGGCCTTATATTTTATAATGCTTTTTCTCTATGAATTCAGCTTGCGTGGAAAAGGAAGGTATTGATACAATGGAAAAAGAAAGATAAAGAGCACCATGCTGTTAAGATTTACAAGAATATCTAAAGAAAAGACAAGAAAAAATTCAACTCCGAAAGAATGAGGCGGATTACAATTTGTACACAAAAGAGCACGTCAGAACCGTGCCAAGTATGAAGGATGTTACATAAACGCATAAAAAGGATGGGTTTGCTGTCCAAAAGTAAAGAGAAGGATGGAAAGAATTTCAAGGATACTCGAGGTTTGTAAATGCGCGGGAGACACCAACCACGTCGTTGACTATTTCTTCACAGCTCTCCCTTCACGACTCAGTTGACGATGCCGTTGGGATTCTCGGCCAGGTTGATCAGCAGCTGCGCCAGAAGTCGCTTTGTCGTGATATCGTCTTTGAGCGCCTGTGCAAACGTCGCGTCCCGCAACGGTTCCGGCAAGCACTGTCGCAGTGCTTCGCGAGCCCTATTGTGCGTCGGATGAAATAATGTGAATAAAACGCTAGATCTGAGTAGCCTGCTTCCTTCAGGCGAATAGGGATCCACAGATCATTTAGATATCGTACCTAGGGTTGTCAGAGAGCCGGAGATAGCATTTGATAACATGCTTCAATAGTCGGACGGCTAGGGTATCCACGAGTTGATGGACCATATTGCTGAGGACGACCCCGACAGCATAGAAGCGCTCGTAGGTCTGGCAGATGTAAGCCAGGCCCATGTCATCTAGCAATATCCTTTGCACAATAAAAATAGCAACCTATGCAAACAAGCAGCGATAGAAAGGGAGAGAAAAAAGCACGGGTCAATAAAGTTGTTGAATTCGGACAAATGTCCACATGTGAACTGAGAGAAGTAAATGGCCTTTGCGGACATACAGTTTTAGAGAGCTCGCTTCCGGTCTCCATGATGCGCAGGCACAGGGGGATGATTTCGGTCGAAAGCAAGAAGGTGATCACCTCTGTGTTATCATTCTAGATAAAGGCAACAGTGTCATAAGTAGCGGATCAAATTATTAAAGATAGCAAAACAGAACCAAGTGTCTTCATACCTTAACTAATGCGCCAATGACACCGAGACTTGTCAAACGCAGATATTCAAAGGGTCGGGTCTTGCTGGTCGTGTTCAAGAAAGGATAAAGGAACAACGGGATGTGGGCTATTGAATGTATCAATCAAGTAGATAGAGCCGGTTACAGCAGTGCTAGGCCAATCGTTAAAGGGACAAAAAGAGACATGTAAGGCATGCTATAGTACCATTGAGAAATAGTCCCCGGGTGTCGGGATGGCTAGCCACACACTGCAACAGGGCCAGGGCATTGCACACGCGATTGGACGCGTGCGCCGTCAGTCCCGTGGGTGCCAACAATGGATATACGGACACGATTTCCTGTAAAAGGGCAGACATGACGCCTGTAGTGATATCAAAAAGTGGATGAAAGTAACAGGTAGGATGGTTAGTAAGTAAAACTGCAGTGGAGAATGAATTGAAAAGGTGGCGAATTCAGACTTTAAGTGATCTGCTTCGATGCCAGTATTTTTCTGTCTCCACATACCGAAGGAGTGCCACAGTACAAGGGCCAGTTCCTCAAACTGCTCGCGCTTCTTGCTCAGCTCCAGCAAGGCCTGTTCACGATTCGTTGGATTCGTCAATTCTAGGACCAATTGATAGATCTTTTCATCTTCGATGCTGATGCTGTTTGTTCTGTACTGATTCTGCTGAAGCTGCGCCTGTTGCAATTGAAGCTGCTGCTGCTGCTGTTGTTGTTGTTGTTGTTGTTGTTGTTGTTGTTGTTGTTGTTGTTGTTGTTGCTGCTGCTGCTGCTGCTGCTGCTGCTGCCTTTGTTGTTGTTGCTGCTGCTGCTGTTGTTGCTGTTGTTGTTGTTGTTGCTGTTGTTGCTGTTGCTGTCGCTGCTGCTGTTGGTGAAGCTGTTGCTGTTGCTGTTGATGGTGGAGCTGCATAGCTAATTGACTATTATTCATGCCAGTGATTCCACCGGCACCGTATCCAAGCTGGTTGGGATTGAGGCCGTGCATGGTTACTCCTCCGGAGAGGCCTCCACTGCCTCCTTGTCTGCCCTGCTGAGCGTACTGCTGCATGGTGGAAGAGTGTTGTCCTTGCATCGCATACATGCGTCTTTGCGAAATCCTTGGGTTGCGCTTGCTCTCTCAGTCTCTCGCTAAAGGCGAGCCTTGTCAGGTTCGTGTTGATGGGATGATGAAGAACGAGAAGAGGAATTTATTCTTTTCGAAGCATGGTTACAGTCTGCGATCGCGTGTGCTGCATACATATACGCCCATTAATGGAATTTCATAGCTCCATCTCCGCCCCTTTGTTGTTATGGGCTGGTTACCGCCTTTTTGCGTTGGCTGCATCGCTGTTGTGATTGTTCGCTGTCCCCTACTCCATTGGCCATCATCCTGTCCTCGAACTCCCCTTCACTCGCCTTCACTCGCCTTCACTCGCTTAATCAGCCATCGCGCCTTCCACCGATCGCCTTCCTATTTTCTTGACAAAAAAAACACCTTCATGTATTGATATCCCTTTTCCCGTTCCCTTTTTGTTCAACAAGCCTTTTGACCCCTCACTCTGATATTTTCTTAATACATCAGTCCTTTTGTTCTTCTTGACCTTGCGTTTCAGCGCGCATCTGGACCTACGCCTGCACCCTTGGCTTCCCTGCCCCTCCCTCGAGCAAAGGGGGGTCATCCGGTTTTGAAACTGCATCCACATCCACATCTTTAATCATGTCACAGCCTGTAAGTTGTCACCTGCGCCTCGTTCTCTCCTTATTGGAATGATATGGCGCTTGATTATAAGATAACGTATGCTGAAGGTGTCCATAACATTGACAATTTGGATAGATATCGCGTCCTCGCGCGCCATTGATGGCAGGCAAACGTGCGCAAAACAACGAGAACCTCGCCAGTGGTCAGCAGGCTGTCACGTATGTCAAGGATGCCATGAGCTCAATGCAGGCATCCACCAAGGGCAAAGTCATTGCCACAGCATCAAGCAGTACTGCCCTGAAGAAGCGTGCTCTGGTCGAGAAAACCAATAGTCGCCCCAACTTTGCCAGCAACGGAGAAAACAAAGAGGTAATGTCTTTTTCCTTCGATCCATTTCACAATGTCATCACATATTCTTTCATTGCTCCTGCGATGACATCGTTTTATTTATTTTTCCAAGACCTTTCTTGTCACTGTCACGTCCACCGCAACAAAATTAAAACGCGTACCTGAAAATATTGATGTTTAACCGATCTGAACCGTTTGAACGTATCAATTCTGACTCGATTCCCGCCATTAGAACATCAACACTAATGTGATCAGGAACCAGCCAGTGAAGGTCCGTGTACCGTCAGTTCAGGCGCCCATCCGATGGGCACCCATTCAGGTGTCCGTACCTGTCAAGGGCCCTGTTCAGGCGCCCGTTCAAGTGCCTGTCAAGGTCCCTGTTCAGGCTCCCGTTCAGGTGCCCGTCCAAGTGCCTGTCAAGATCCCTGTTCAGGCGCCCGTCCAGCACCAATCGAGGCGAGTGCTACAGGAAAAGGCTATTGGTCACCAGGAACGCGTCTACGTAGTCAAGAAGGAGGCAGTGGTCGTGAAGATGGAGCCTGGACTTGTACCAGAACGCATACCCTTGGCACAGCAGCCTGTCAAGTCTGCTGTAAAGCGAGTCTTGCCCCCGTCCACAACGGAATCCCTTCTACCGTTGCTCGAGGGTGAGAAGGAGGCGCGCGCCTATGAGGATGAAGAGAATAGGAAGCGAGCCAAGCGCGAGGTCTATCTCCAGTGGGACGACTTGGATGCAGACGACGTGCATGATCCTTTGATGGTGTCGGAATATGCCGTGCAGATTTTTGATTACATGCAGGAGCTGGAGGTATTACATCGTGCAGGAATTCTATTGTTCGCGCGCCGATGCTTGCATCATGGGCAATAGCCATTAACAAACTTTACCCTTTGTCTCTCCGTTAGGTGCTAACTATGCCTGATCCGCGATACATGGATTCTCAAAAGGAATTGGCCTGGAAAATGCGAGGGGTGTTGATTGACTGGCTCGCAGAGGTTCACTATAAGTTCAAGCTGCTCCCAGAGACGTTGTTCCTGTCTGTGAACCTCATCGACCGCTTCCTGTCTCTGCGTTCAGTCTCGTTAGTGAAGCTGCAATTGGTCGGTGTCACGGCGCTGTTCATCGCGGCTAAGTATGAGGAGGTGATGGCACCCTCGGTAGCGAACTTTATCTACATGTCCGACGGTGGATTCAAGGACAAAGAGATTCTGCAGGCCGAGCGGTACATGTTGCAGACATTGGGCTTCCAGCTGTCGTACCCTAGCCCCATGAACTTTTTGCGTCGCATCAGCAAGGCCGATAACTACGATATTCACTCGCGTACCGTCGCAAAGTACTTGATGGAGATCCCTCTTCTAGACTGCAACTTTTTAGAGTGTCCGCCTTCGATGATCTCTGGAGCTGCGCTCTGTCTCGCGAGGAGGATGATGGGGCATTATGATTGGCATGACAACTTAGTGCATTATTCCGGCTACACAGAGGAGGAGCTGATGCCATGCATGGAACGTATGGTGCATTATCTACAGCGACCACTCAAGTCCCAGACCTTTATCTTCAGGAAGTACTCGACGAAACGATTTTTGAAGGCATCGATTTTTGTCAGGGAATGGGTTTACAATATGACTCGGGAAATGGAAATGCAACAACTGCAAGCCGAAGCTGGGGGATTTTGAGCTTATCTTCTCTTCCTCCATGCCATGTTGTTTCCTCTCGCTTTTCTTTTATTATTATTCCTTGTACTTGTATATAAGATCCTCCGTCTCCATCCCTCCCTCCCTGCTCACCGCAATAAAACTCGATATTTATTCAAAATCATTGTAACCATTCCTTTGAGGATATCGATATACAAACAAGACATGCCAAATGGCCTAAGCGAAATGCATGTCGTCATGCTCAGTTCGTGTGCATGGGCCAACCTTGTCTCCCCAGCGATTGGTTATCTGAAACGCTTCGCCTATTACGTAGTTCACGTGACCTCCTATGCCTTTTTATGGGTCCTGGGGCCCATCTTTTTTCTTTTCTTTCTTTCCTGCACTCACCACCTCCACTTCCATTTTTGCACTCCCATCGTTCAACTTCCATAAGAACCAACCACAAGCTTACGAAATCTCTTCTTAAAGGCCCCTCATCGATTGATCCGCCTTATCTGCCAAGTCTCTTCATATCACATTCAATTACAATCATGGTCACAACGCGCTCCAGAGGAAACAAGCAGGCCGCTGCCACTCAGGATGCAAATTCCACCGCTGTTGCTGCACCCCAGCAACTCAAGCGTAAGGGTAGCAATGCCTCGAATGTCTCGCCTGCTGCAAAGCTCTCTAAGACGGATCCGACTGTAGATTTGGTCACAGAGGAGCTGCCGAAGGCTCCTGCACCAACACCCGTCGCACAACCTCAGCAACCGCCACTTGTAGCCGCGGTCGAGGCAGCATTGCCAGTAGCGGGCTCGAACACTACCACAGCTGTCCCAGCGCCTGCTTCCGCTTCAGCGACCGTGCCCGCAGTGGCATCTACCACCGACACAACGACGACGACACCTGCAACAGTCGCGGCATTGGAGACATTGAAGGAACCAACCCCAGCGGAGGCTCCCTTGCCAGAGGTTTCCACTGTTTTGGGCGAACCGACGACTGCCGCCAGCCTCACGGCTCCGATCACGACAACACCACCAGCACTCGCGGCTCCTCAACTGTCGACGATCCCGGCCCAGGTTCCCCTGGCTTCAATGACGACAACGGCTCCTTCGGCTGCAGCAGTGGCAGAGCCAACAGCTGCAGTCACTACTATGGCTTTTTCAACAGCAGTACCCTCCCTGTCAGCGATGGCGGACCCTTTCAGTTTAAGCGGCGCTAGTGCCATGGACGGTGTAACTGCCCCCGCTGCTGTGATTCCCTCAACAGCAGTGCCCTCGCTGGCAGCGGCGGCGGACCCTTTCAGTTTAAGCGGTACTAGTGCCACTAATGGTGCAGTTGTTGCGCCCGCTGCTGTGGTTCTTCCAGCAGCAGTGCCCTCACTGGCAGCGGCGGCGGACCCTTTGAACTTGAACAACGCCAACATCACGGCCGCTGTTGCTCCATCAGCGACGACGATGCTTCAGCCCCAGGCCTTTGGAGTGAACGGTGGTGCAACTGACATGATCACAGAGCCATCGGCAAAGTTGAATGGCACTGGGCATATGTCTTCGGTGTTGGGTGGAATTGACGCTGCAACCACAGGTACGAATGCGGCAGCCGCTGGCGCTGGCACAAACGAACCACAGCCAACGATGAATGCAGAGCAGAAGGTCAAGCAGTCGAATGGACCAACTCTTGGCTAAGAAGACGAAAACGGCTTTTTTCTTGGATAGCGTGATTTGAGATCTTGACGCGTCGATTCACAATCAGACTGAAGCGTTGTATATACGCCTTTTTTTTTCTTTTTTTTTTTTCAAGTAAATAAACTCAAAAATCGAGCTTCTTAAGAATGGGTTTATTGTGTGTGGTCGAATCGAGGGGAGACTACCCTTATCGTTTGGATGAAACAGAGCCCCAGGATTTAGAGGGATATAGATGCACCATGACGAAGCATAGAGCGCTAAGTAATGATGATTGCACCATTGGATCATCGGCTCGTTGGCTAGTATGGGTCTATGGCTAGGTGATCTGAAAATGAAACGCGGCACTGTGCTAGGCCGTGTTTGTTCGTATAAGTACGCAAGGAAGAGACTATGGAACCATATTATGCCACGCATTTAATAGAATGACGAACCGCGCATACTTTATGGATTCGTAATGTAGGTATGTTAAAGACACAGGATAGCCATGGCAGTAGCCGAGAAAATGTCTATCAGTTTACTGGGCAATATGAAACGCATTGTGACAGGTGTAGTAGCTATTGATAGATATAATAGATGTGCAGTAAGAGGCTACAAGCTGTTGTTGGGAAGGACAACAACCCTATCGAATAGCATCCTAGCGCCCATCTCGCAAAGAACTTGTCGATGCACCAGAAAATCGATTGCACTTCGCCCAATGCATCTTGGGCACCACAAGCCACTGCTTTTTTTTTTTTTTTTAATATTTTCATTCCTTGAAAACCAACAGCTTACACTCGACCTTCAACTACAACCAGAACCAGACGACCGCCGCCAATGACCGAGTCACACCACTTTCGAGTCCTGGAGTTCTATTCTGGCATTGGAGGAATGGTAACTTTCGATTCAGCAGAGCCAGCCGCATTATAACCCAAGCAGTGCGAGGTATACATACTTACTATCCCTAACTACTTTTTGTCCAAATAGCACTATGCCTTCGACGAGTCTGGACATCAGGGAAAGATCCTCAGGGCATTCGATATCAATACGACAGCAAATGAAGTTTATGCCCACAACCATGGGAAGAAGCACTTGGCGCAGGTAATCTATCGATCAGCGAACTCTCTCTCTCTAATGGCATTAGAAATTGGATATGTTATTGCGGGGTACAATGACTAACGATCCGCATTGTACTCTCGCTACTTAAATAGAGAAACATTGAGGCCGTACCAATGGAGTACTATGATGAACAGCAAGCCGATGTCTGGCTCATGTCACCACCATGCCAGCCTGTATGTGAATTCTTTATCAGCTTTCCCCTGCAATGAAATTTCATCCGCTATCTCGCCTTCTCGTTTAACGATTCTCAAAATGCCGCTTCAATAGTATACAAGGACAGGAAACAAAGCAGGCAGCAAAGATGCTCGAGCAAAGTCTTTTTTATATCTCATGGACATTCTCCCAAAGATGACCCACCCTCCGAACTACATCCTACTCGAAAACGTCAAGGGCTTTGAAGAATCCGACTCTCGTGATTTCCTCGTGGAGGCACTCATGGGCGCTGGGTATGAGTTCCAGGAGCTGTTGATCACACCTCTGCAGCTTGGGATCCCCAATTCCAGGATGCGGTATTATTGTCTCGCCAGGAAGACAGATAACGTCGGACCATTCGTTCAGCCTGTTACAGGTACTTTGATTGGGTACATTCCATCCTTAGAAGGAGAATTAGAAGGAGACCTGGAAGGCGAACAAGGTGTAGATGGACCAAAGCAGAGGGATTTTGTTGATGGGCGGAAACAGGGAGATCTGTCGGGATTATCGACCTCGGTGGCAGCGAAGAAGCGAAGGACGAGTCTTTTGACGTCGACGGTGACGAAGGAAGGCATGAATGGGGCAGGGGAGAAACCGGATGAGGACGCTATTCTGTCAGATCCTATGTTGGCACTCAAGGTTGAGAAGTTGGACAAATATATTGAATTCAAGGATGTGGCGGATGAGCGCATGCAGCGGTATATGATTCCAGATAAGACCTTGATCAAGTATGGCGCGTTATTTGATATCGTCAAGGAATCGACCAGGCGAAGTTGCTGCTTTACAAAAGGTGAGAGGCATTCGCTTTAGAGGCTTGATGTTTTCGGCGACGAAAAGGTACCAGCCGCTTAACCACGCCGATTACCTGTCACGCTTTGTAGGATATTATCACTATGTTGAATCGACAGGATCTATTCTGCAGATGGCGCACGAGAAAGACGTAAGGTGTCATTGCTATTGCTCTTTTCTTTTGGACTACTAGCAAATATCTTACCTGGGATTTTATTCTGCTTGCTGTGTTCTAACCCACTAGACTGCGGCAGTGTTTGATGAGGCAGGCGCAATAAAGGCCCAGGGTAAAGTGGGAGACGGGACCGAAGCTCCTAACGCCGACGAATATAATGCCAAGGCGCTTGCTCTGCTCCGTACGCTTGGCTTGAGATACTTTACCGAAAACGAGGTGGCCAGGTTGATGGGTTTTCCTGTCTTGGAAGGAAAGTTTTCGTTCCCAGAGAAAACCTCACTCAAGCAGCGGTATCGTGTTTTGGGAAACAGCATCAACGTCAAGGTGGTGTCACATCTTATCCGGTACCTACTGACGTCTAAGACGGAGAACATCTCTGAAAAGAAGGCGGAAAAGGAGGCTGGTAAAGATCCTGAGGTGAGATCCGAGTCCTCTTAGAAGGGATATGAGAAGAGCTACGAGTGGCAGTTCAAGGATGGATTTGAGAAGGGATCTGAGGAGGAGTTTGAGTAGGGATTTGAGAAAAGGGTCTGCAAGTAATAAAGAATACGCCATGACTCGATAATAAAGACGCGCGACTGTACGCCCGGAACAGTTTACGGATATAATCTTTTATTTATAGATATCAACTTGTGTGCATTATTTCTTGGCGTCCTTCGTTGCCTGCTCCTCGATCGCCTTCAGAAAGCCTTCTACGCCTGTATTAAAAACAAGGAGCATCGTATGAGCATTACAATCATGATACTTCCTTTTCAGCAAACACGTTAGACCAATGCAGGACAAGACTCTCTCTTACCATCTCCAGCGTTAGGTCCAAGGCCGAACTGTCTCAGCAAAGGCCCAAGCTGTCCAGATTCCAATGCTGTGCTCAGCGAGACCAAGGCCTGTGAGAACTGTGGTGCCCGTACAATCGCCTGGATTTCCTCCGGTGTCCTTTCTGAGGACTCTGGCAAGTGCGGGAACAATGCCTCGCAGATCTTGGGGTTACTGAGTAATGGTGCGACGGCCCCTGGCGTGAGAACGTGATCCAGACGAAGATTTGAACGCTGTGCCATAGATCCTGCTGCCTCTACAAACGGGAATTGAGAATGAATATGCGAGGTAAGCTATTAAGTGAGTTCCTCCAACTGAAATGATTGAGGCGTGGGAACACATCGATGCTGTTCCTTACGAGGGACTTGGATGCCTCCTAAAAGATGACGCAGCTGATCCATTTGCTGCGAGGTCAAGGATGACCCCCCAGTGCCTGCGGCTGCGCTAGCTGGGTTCGTGCCTGTTGTTGCTGACGATGAAACGGGTACTGCAGGAGCGAATGCTGCAGAGGGCGTAATAGAGGAGGTAGCTGTTGCTCCTGTTGAAGACGTTGTATCAGCTACATGCTCGACTCCCTCCATGGCCACGTCCTCGTCCAAGCCCTGTTCCTCGTCGTCTTGTGAATGGATCAGGGTGTTGACCTGCTGCAGAATGAATTGATCCTGGGCTGTACTGGCGTCCTGGAGCCAGAAGAAAAGCTTTTGTGAAGAAGACTTGAACTGAAGCATGATGACGCGTCCAGAAGTGCACTGAGGGACAGCAATGAGCTCCGCGTCTCCGGGGAAGAGGATCAGGTCCTAGTCAAGGGTTGACAAATGTTGGAAGGTATTAGGTCTGTGTATTAGCCTTGCGCTATTGGGTCAGGTCGAGGGATATCGATTATCCACTGCAACAGCTTACATCTTCAACTGCTCCTGTTGTCCGGTTCTTCCAGTAAAAGTGCATCATTCCGTCCTCTTCGTCCAAGTAGACGAGTCTAGGGCATCATTGAAAGGATAAAACTGGGTGTGAGGAGTGACCCTTGTTGGACATGAAGTGATCTTCGGCATGCAAAAGATTAATTCAAAGCATACCCTTTTGCGGGATCTGGTTTGACGGTATTGGTTCCTGTAATCCTGAAGCATCTTCCTGCCTTGAATTCCAAGAGGCGAGGGTGTACCGCTGATGCCATGTTGCTTTATTGATGGTGAGTGAGCGAGTGATTCAAATGCGAAAAAGCGGCGCTGTGGCATAAAATGACATAACGCGTGATTATTTATTTTGCTACGAATCACGCCCAGCACTCTGTCCAAAGCAAGGGCAAGAACACGACGCAGGCTGTCCAGAAGATGCTGACTGCACTCAAGAAAAGTACCGGGAACTGTGCATACGAATCTGCGTTATGGAAGAGCATCCAGATAGAATGGAGCGCGACGCGATAAAAGTGGTAGATCAGTGTTTTACGACTATGGCTAACGCCCGACAAGAGTCCAACAGGGCCACGGATACACTCGCCGCCCATCTGGAAATAGCTGAAGCAGCCGTTGCGAAGCACTGTGAGGTTTTTATCTAGAAATAAAAATCCGTAAAGAGTTCTGTAAATTGTCTAGCTAAGGTGGCAAATAAAAGATCGGGACGCGAAGTGAACTGTATGTCCTTACCTGTGCCGGAGAAAAGCGTATAGAGTGCTTGTGCAAGAATGTTGATGATAGCACTCATTTCCTTCCTCTTCCAGAAAAACAGCTCCATCTGGATCATGGTCACTTCCTGATCCTTCAAGACGTTATCCTTCAAGAAATCTCTCAGATAAACCACATCGCTCAGTGCCACGGTCATGCCGCCTCCTGTGAGCGGGTGCCTCATATTCATCGCGTCTCCCAATACGATGACGCCAAGTTCTGAGCTGGTGGATGGGGGTAAGAAGCTGTTAGGCATAGAGCGCAGGCGTTCTGTTTCGAGAGCCCGCAAGAAGGACTTTTGAGCAGCCTGGGGGAGCTGTGGGGAAACGGTCGATTCGAGATATGAACGAAGTGCGCCTGAAGAGGCAGAGGGGAGTTGGCCAGGGATATCGATAAGTATGCGGGTTTCAGTTTTGGAGATCTGGTACATGAGAATCGGGGACGGCGTAGCGAGGATTACATGACCGTGGTTGGGGAACGGGAGGGAAACATCTTTTAGGATTAGCCTGGAAGAAAAATAAAAAGACGAGGTTAGCAATGAACATTGCAGAGTATACGTCCTGGGCCCCGTGCTGGAGAGAGTAGATTATGTCGTACCCGACAAAATGAGAGGCGGTCTTCACAGGTTTGGAAAGATACTGCTTGCGGAATTTGGAGAAGCAGCCATCTGCAACGACGACCATGGGCGATTTGTACTCTGTTGAGGATGCTGAAGATGTAACGCTCTCCCCGTCTGTCGCGTCCTTCTTTGCTGTACAGCTAACGCCGGTTGCTCGCACTCCATCCTGGTCATACAGGATCTCGTTGACAGTGGCCTCCACGATCGACACACTATGCGTGCGAAAGATGTTAATAGCTGAACACCACATGTTTTTCAAGTGCACAAATAGAATCATGACTTTAGCATTTACTTTGGAGTCCGTGCAGCAGCGGCTCTGAGCTTTTGAATGAACCGACCGTGGTGGAAGGAGCGCCCTTGGACAGGTTTTCCGGTGCTGGGGTCTGTAGTGTAGGGAATATGGACCATCTCAGAACCCCGGATAACTCCGTATCCAAATGTAGGGACTGCATCAATGCCCTCCATGCAGTCTAGCATGGGGCGACGCATATGGTTAGTTATAGATCTGAAAGTACGAGTCCAATTGCTGTAGGTGCAATTTTACAAATAGAAGTGGTGTTTGACACGGTACCAGCAAGTCCGAGTTCCTTGAGTGCGTCGCATCCGCCTGGCTGCAATAGTTCTCCGACAATGCGATCTGGCTCGCTCAGATCGCGTTCTGGTTTGAACAAGGAGAAAAGAGCTGTTACTTGCTGATTCAGGAACACCAAGCTAAGAAAAAGAACAGTAGTAGTTCTATGTAGTACCTATCATCAGGACACGCTTGCCCTGTTTGCCGAAGGTTGCTGTGAATGATGCCCCGAGCACTCCTCCTCCGATGATGATGATATCGTAGCTCGATCCAGCTGTAGGGATGGGCACGGTTGCGAGAGTTGGTGCAAGTGTGTTGCCGGGCATTTTCGTTTTGTGCTGTTTTGGAGGATGTGGAGGGTATGGAGGGTGAGGGCGATGTGGATGAATGCAAGGGCGTAAGGGGACAAGCGGCGACAGATGAGAGAAAGATTAGGGTAGAGCTACTTTCATGGCGGACTCTCGGCAGTCTTTTATAAGGGGACGATGGAGACCTTCTTCCTCTAGGCAGATCAGGCCACCCGCCAGCAAAGCTACAGACCCGCGAGGGCGGGAAGGAAAAATATGAACACGAAAAGTGAAACAAGAGATTTGTTTCCTGTGTAAGACATATGAGCACTGCCGCCCTACCGGCAGCACAAGCAATTGAGAAGGAATGTGGCATGATCTTTGTCAATTGCCATATCGATCAATTACAGGATGTCAATGGGATCCATGTGTACTGTGCCCACCACTCCGCCTTACTTCAATTCAGCTGAGAAGGAGCAATAGCAGCAGTAGCGACAAAAGAAAAAGGCTACAGCCATGGACTCATAAACGTCCGATTTCAGTTGGCTCTGTCCGAATCCAGGTCCTTGTCCGAATCTGTGCAAAATTTAAAAATTAGTGGCGCTCTTTTCGGATGCTGCTTCTTTTGGGGGTAAGAACCATTAAACTGGGTCGCTCTTACATCCACAGGGATGCAACGTTTTCTTCCGTAGCACATTCCCGATTCGATCGCTGTACTTAGTTACTTGCCAGCTAACCCTTCCATACGCTGTTTATTGTGCTTTTGCTTGCAGGAAATAGGGGCACGTTTTTTTTTTATCACGCGCCAGCTCAGGGTCTTTACAAGTTTATTTACATAGCTCACTGATCTACTTGGTAAAACGACTGCAGTCTTCCCGACTATCCACTCCTTCTTTCATGTCCATTGCCTAGCCGGTATCGGGTCGGTGTCTTGAATGCATGCCAAGAGCTAGGGGGACGGTGCATAGCATTGTAGGAGGCGAACGATTAAGGAAGGACACAGTGATACACTCACCCTGTATTCAGGGGAAAGAGACGAGTTTCTACAACTATTTCCTTCTTTCAGATCGAATGAAATAGTGTAAATAGCGTTGGCGCTCACAGCCTCTTTCAGTGTTGTTCGATTCGCAGATTGTTGAATCTTTGCAAAGAATTGCTCGGAAATAATCAATTGCTGCATCTGGAAATAAAGGCTGCTTGAATGCAGTTTGATTCTGAGTGGCAATTGATCGGAGATGCCTGGCAGGTAATGTAAGACGGATGCAATTGCATGGAGTACAGCCGATATACGCTTGTTTTGCGTCAAGGCTGGTGAGGAACTGTAGCGAGGTGTTCTCAAGTTCGTTTTCCTATGCATTGGATAGATTTTTTTTTTTTGGCAGCAAATCCAATGTCGCACAAAATGTGGTGACTGCACACATGGGAAAGTCTCTGTCTCCCTTTCTAAGCATCCTATCCACTTTTTTCATCTCCATCCTACTTTCATCATCATTACTATCATCATCATCACCCTCAGCTTCTAATCCCCCAGCAGCATAACAAGGCGATCAAACCATACTCATACACCGGCACTCGCTGTGTCGTACAAAGGCTCTCATTTCTGAAATCGACACCCGCTGCAGCCAGTAATGCCCCGCGTGCCGATGGATGACCAGTTTCTCAATAACATGGCTCAACCCGGCGCTGGCTCTGGCTCCGGCTCTAGCTCTGGCCATGTCCCCCCCGACCCTCTTCTAGGCACACTTCACCAGCCCGCGACCATGAGCCAACAAGGACAGGTAAAAAAAACATGACAGACACAACTGTTCACAATATCTTCCGCTTGCCATCCTCTAGTAGAAATCACATCGCGTGTCAATAGCACTAAAGTCGGCCTCGCCGTCCTTTTCGTCTACATAGCAATTGGCCACGCTGCTACGTGGCAAACTTAATGACTATGGCAGTGGTTTCCCTGGCAATAACGGTCTGGATATCTCACGTTCCAGCTCCGCTCCTCCAAACCAAGTTCAGTCGCGGTTCGGACTGGGCCCAGGATTCGATTCGCAGCCGTCATCAGATCTGCGCTCCGATACAGACTACAACAACTTTTTCATGGCGCCCTCTCGACAGGATCCCCGTCTCGCAGCCTCCAGTATGTATTCTCCAGGACTGTCATGGCAGATGTGGTCAACTTCGGCAACCGAACTCGGTAGCGGATCAGAGGACCCCAAGGGTGCTCTAGACTCAGGAAGCCGCACTGGTAAGAGGCATTGTCTTGTATCTTTTATCCAGCAACGGGAGGCCCCATGGCCTATCGGATGATGAGCAATTGCTTTTTTTAAAATGAGCATTGGAACAGGATGCATGCTCAGAAGCATGCATGCAGCTGAAGCTGACTTTTATAAATCTATCACCTGCTCTTTACCTTGCACCCTTGATCTTGAACCTCATAGACTATGGCTTTTCTATAGACGACAACTCCAAGACCTCTTCGTCCTCGTTTTATCCTAAGACCAGTGAGCCGTCCCTGCTGTGGCGACAGGATCTAAAATCGCCTGAATTGGTCAGAAGTGAGACGCATTCGCCCATGCTGCCCCGGTATGCTCTCGATCCTGCCCGAAGTGTCGCCTCGATGCCTAGCTCTCCCATGTTTGGTGCACATTCAACTGATCATATCAGCCATATTTGGGCGCCTACAGTCTCATCTCCAACGAGCGAGTTCCCGAGGTCGCCCTCGCCCCTTCTCAACATGCCGCACCACAGCCTCTTGTCAACACAGCAGCAGTCGCACCATCTTTTGAGCCCGGGTCTGTCATCCAGTCAAGCGCTGCGGTCACCGTTATCTCAATCCTCCACGTTGCGACATGAGACTTCTAATTCTCCTGATCTGGACGAGCAGTTGCGCGAAACAGGACTGAACCCCGATGATCTGGACGACAGGTCTTCGCAGCTCAAATCTGTGTTGAACGCAGCATTGGATGGCGGGGACGAAGAGCGGATACCGACAATGATCAGCGCTCGGTCTCCTCTTTTCCAGTCCAAGTTTGCGCCCCCTCCTCGCGCTTCATCGACTCCGCCAATTCATGGACGTAACTTTACGAAAAACCCTCCACCCGGGTTTTCCATGGAACAAGAGACAACACAGATTGATATTGACTTTGGCATGCAGAACTTGCAGTTCACCGATCCTGTAAGTTGAATCAACTTGCAGTACGCAACTCTCCCGATGTCAAAAGACTCCGATTCTGACCTCTGTTCCCTATGTCCTCTCGTTCATGTTTTATAGGAGGATGATCTGGCAATCCAGCAAGTAAACATTAGACGGCAGCAGTACGAACTAAGCCAGCAACAGCTGAAACTACAACAGATGCAGCAACAGCGTCACCAACAGCTACATCAACTGCAGAAGCAGCATTCGTACCATGGATCGCATACACCTGTCACCTCTTACTCGCCCTATTTCGAGAACCAGACAATGCTCAAAGACCCTCGGTTGATCAATCCTCAATATGGATTCGACTATAATCTCATGACCCATCCTGGATTCTTGGCTCAGAAAGACCAATATACGCCCGTGCAGAAAGGTAAAGCATTCTTTGTGCTGTGTGCCGGAACTCGTCCAACACATTTCATAAAGCAGATACTTATATCATGGTTTCTCTCTTCATATATGCTGATGTTTAGACTTTCATTCAATGTTTGAGGGTCATGATGAAGCATCTCTGGGATTCAGAGCGAATGATCTGGCGTATGACCCACGCCGTATGAGCAACGCTATGGGCCTTTCGCCAGAGTATCGAAAGGCCGCGCTCCTTCATTTGCAGCAGCAGCAGCAAGGAGGCGTGTACTCACCTAACCCCTTGGCTACAGGTTCGTTTTCTTCCGATTTTGCGGGCGGTTCCAGCTCTCGAGGATCCGGTATGAACTCTCCCAACCTGGCCCAGGTGGATGCCCGAGTCGCTGCCGCCAACGCTGCCGCCGAACAAAAGCTCCGACTCCAGTCGCAACAGATCCTACTTCAGCAGCAGCAGCTCATGCTTTTGCAGCAACAGCAACAACAGCAACAACAGCAACAACAGCAGCAGCAGCAACAACAACAACAACAGTCTCAGACGCTACAGCAGCCGCAAGGCCAGCATGCCTTAAAGCAGCAACACCACCAGTCCAACAAGTCTGGGAGGCCTAAACCTCAGCATAGTGGCAGGCAACATAAGAGTGGACACGACTCTAACAAAGTCTACCACGATGGCGATCAGGCCACCTCTTGGTCAAGTACGAACGGTAGTCCTCCAAACGGTGCTCATAGGCCTCATCATAGGGAAGATGAGTTGGATGCGGATGTGAACATTATTGAAGGCGGCCATGGCCAACGCAGCGCTCTCCTCGAGGACTTTAGAAACAACAAGAGCAACAAGAAATATGAGCTCAAGGTATACGTGCGTGCATGTTTGCCCTTTAGTATACTGAGTTACAGATACAAAACCCTTATCGAACCGACGATTTTATTTCTTATTTCCACGTGTAGGATATTGCTGGAAGTGTAGTCGAGTTCAGCAGTGACCAGCACGGCTCTCGCTTTATTCAACAAAAGCTCGAGACCGCGACGGCTGAGGAGAAGCAGATGGTGTTTGAGGAGATCATGCCTCATGCGCTTCAGTTGATGACAGACGTCTTTGGGAACTATGTGATTCAAAAATTCTTTGAGCACGGCCAACCAGAGCAGAGGGAGGCTCTGGCCAAGCAAATGGAGGGCCATGTGCTTTCGCTGGCACTGCAGATGTACGGATGCCGTGTTGTGCAGAAGGGACTCGAGCATGTTATGCCGGATCAGCAGGCGATCCTCGTCAAGGAACTGGACGGAAATGTGCTGAAGTGCGTCAAGGATCAGAACGGAAATCATGTCATTCAGAAAGCGATCGAGTGCGTTCCTGCTGAGCACATTTCTTTCATCATCAACTCGTTCACGGGCCAGGTGTATTCTTTGGCCACCCATCCATACGGCTGCCGAGTGATCCAGCGCATGTTTGAACATTGTGCTGAGACAAAGACTGTAAGTGGTCGCCATTCTTGCATTCATGCATGGCGATATTATTTTATTGGTTCTGTTGAAGCTGCTAACGTTCTTGTGTGTTATTGCTCATTCTTTAGCCTCTGATGGAGGAGCTCCACAAGTATATCCCCAATCTGGTCCAGGATCAGTATGGCAACTACGTGATCCAGCACATCCTCGAGCGCGGCAAGCCTTCTGAAAAGGCCCTAGTGGTCTCGAAGATCTTTGGCCAGGTCCTGCCGCTGAGCAAGCACAAGTTTGCGAGCAATGTGGTGGAGAAGTGTGTCGCCTACGGATCGAAATCTGACCGCCAAAAGCTGATTGAGGAAGTCATTACGACTAAACCGGATGGCACGTCGCCACTGGTGTTGATGATGAAGGATCAATTTGCGAATTATGTGATCCAAAAGATGTTGGATGTTGTGGATGGCGACCAGAGGGACGTACTTGTTGCGAAGATCAAGCCCCATCTGTCTTCGCTTAAGAAGTATACCTATGGAAAACACCTCATCTCGAGTAAGTTGTACTTTTTTTTTTTTAATTATTATTGTTCGTATTGATCGTTGTAATAAGACAATAGTTGCTAACATTTGGTGTTTTATTATAAACAGAGGTGGAAAAGCTAATGGCAATGCAGGAAGCCCAGTCAAAGGCGGATGATTCCAACGCTTCCGGGAACTAGTCATTCCATGCTTCGAATGCTTCGAATGCGTAATGGCTCTCACATTAACTCATGTTTATATTTATATCTTTCCCACCTCTTCTCTCCTCTTTTTTTTTTTTTTTTTTTTTTTTTTTTGGTGTGTACATAAGTGTACATAGTAGTGTAAATAAACGTTTTGTTCAAGCGGAAAACACCAACCGCACTATCTAGACATCCAAGCAAGCAATAAAGCGAAAAAAAGAAAAAAAAGAAAGAAAGAAAGAAAACCGCCAAACCACCATGGATGGAGGGCCCTTGATAGACAAAGATTTTTTTTCTTTAGTAATGATAGCATGTACATACATACACTTACATTTAGAGTTCTGAACGTTCATAGTTTATTTGTGTGTTTTTATTGGTCGCACGAATGAAATTACTTTGCGAGCCAAGGCCCAAACAAACACAGCACACAGCCTTCAGGCAAAGCATCCATTTGAGCGCGAGACGTGGTTTCTTTGAAGACGCGGTTTCTCAAAAGAGTATGTGAGGCATTAGGATATCTCGCTGTCATGATCTAGAGGGCCGGTCTTGTGGATCTCTGGAAAGGTTTTTTTTTTTTTTTTTTTTGACGAGAACCCTTCAAGACATGGGATTTATTTACTGTGGTCTAAAAGACACCTACAGGTGGGACAGAAAACAAACAGCAAGCTACCCGCTCCGACTATGTCGCAACAGATCCTTATTTTATAATCAATGACCGCATGAACGGCGAACCGACGGCTCTCTACTCCCTACGTGGCCTGTTGTGCGCGAAAGTCATCGAGCTCTGTGCACTGAATGCTTGCTCCAGGGAAACACGGTCCTCTGGCATTTTAAAGAATTGACATCCTCCCAGTCGCTCCATCACATCGAGCCTCAGCTGTCCCAGATTGTACCCCTGCATTCGTTCATCCGCGACGTCGTTGATCTCTTTCATATCGAGTGCTTGTCGTTGCCTCAGGGTAGGTCCCATAAAATCATTGCTGCTACGTCTGTGCTCTCTATCACAGTTGCGTTTACTCACAGCAGTGATCCCATGTTCTCGCTCTTAGTTGACGGTGACTTTACATCTTCTGTTCCAGATCTCCACTCTGCCAATGGAGGTGTGTGTTCGCTATGGAGAAATGTGTTCGCCATGACCAGGAGTCGAACCTGGACGGAGCGAAGAGCCGTACACGGGTATAAGAATCGACGTGAATTCTTTGGTTTCCACCAACCATAGTGATTCATGTGTCGAGGGGGTCAACACCATGTCTTCTCGGCTAAGAGGGTTCTGGGTTATGTATTGAAAATGTTCATGCGAAAGGCCTGGTGCCCCTCGACACATCTTTTGACTTTTTCTTCCATGTGCTATATCTTCTTTTCTTTGTTCTTTTTCTTTGTTCTTTTTCTTTGTTCTTTTTCTTTGTTCTTTTTCTTTGTTCTTTTTCTTTGTTCTTTTTTTTTTTTTTTTTTTTTTTTTTTTTTTTTTTTTTTTTTTTGGGCGCGTTTATTCTTCCACACATCACCACATAACAGCAACATTGACCCTATACAACCATGGGTGCAGCAGTATCGCACGAACATGCACTACCCTGGAACCCATATCGAACCAGATCGCGAATGCGGTCCCGACTAATCTTGAAACCGTTACAGACCCTATTCACATACAAGGTCGGTCTCGCTGGTGTCGCCCTCTGTCGCTATCGCTTTAGGGATAGACTCATCCTTGGAACTACTCGACACCGCCTGTGCTGATCTATCCATTGAATCTCCGCCATACACCACTGTTGCCGCCACTGCATTATCCTTATCAACTCCATTGCAGCTCTCCAATTCTGAGTAAAAGGGCAGGGGTGAATCAAAAGCTTTTGAGCCGATAGAGCGTCCGCGCATTCAACCGACTCGACACCTCCAAAAGTGCTCTTTCAGTTCATTACAACAGGATCTGGTAGACTTGGATGAGGAAATAGACGAAGACAACTTCAAAAAAGACTGTATTAACAAAAGTGACAGGAAAAATATGGATATCATATCTGCGTTGGGCATCGCGGATCTATCAGACGACAACAAATAAGAGGACATGTCATTCAACCCCTTCAACACAGAGCCAATGTTTTACTCCTCTCCGTATCAGCACCGGCTTCAAGCAACGACGAGGCGATACACAACCGACGGAGATTCATTTCCGTACGGCAAAGGGACCGGGCTGTGGCAGGGCCAGGATGATGGTTTCGAGGGAATGGTTCACATTCCGCAGGGCTTCTTTGAAGAGCACCAACGCCACTTTAGCCGGATAAAGGACGTCCTGACGAAAGCCTTGACTATGAAACTGACGAAGAAGGTGATAGTGACTATGCATGAGCCAGAAGGTCAGGCAAGTGCGAGGGCATCGGAACCTTTAGTCTCGACCGCTCGACGGCAACGCTTGGCTCAGCCAGCTGTTCCCTTTCGATTTACTCGATGCTGATGATGACAGATGAAGATGTAGCCCATCTCAGCCCTATACCGTCCTCTGAACTGTCGAGCTTTACAAATATTGGACTTTGTTCCTATGGCATCGTCAAGCTGTCGTCCAACATTCGTATCCTGTCCTCGGCAACTTGCCTTCAAATTTAAGCTATGAAAAACGTTTGCATGCATGCCTGCATGTTGTTGCTTTTTTTTTTTTTTTTCTGGTGAGCACGGAGAAGACTCTACACAAGATTTTAACTCACTCAGCTTGACTTCATATACCTGCGAGTCCAGTTGCTGTAATGATCTGTGTAGTATCCCTACAGAGATTGGGCACCTATGCAACTTGACACTCCTCGACCTGTCCAAGAACAGCCTCACCTCGTTGCCAGACTCGACCCAACACCTCACGCGACTTTTCGGTCTCACGTTGTCCTTCAACTTTCTCGAGAGCCTCCCCACAGGCATTGGAAAGCTCACAAAAATGAAGTCGCTCTATCTCAACAGCAATCGTCTAAGCCGGATCCCTGCTGAAATCGGAAACATGAAGGACCTCGATGCTAACTTGCTGAAATATAGGCCCTCCTCACCATTCAGCAGTTGGAGCGCACCCTGTTCTTGATCCTTGGAAACAAGGTCGATGCCCCTGGCGCAGTCTCTGAGGAGGAGCTCCGCTCTCATCTCGGATTGATTCAAACCACTGGCGAGAGCAAGGTCCCACTGAAGGACATGCGCCCCATTGAAGTCATTATGTGCTCGGTCGTCATGAAGCAGGGATACGGCGATGATATGTTTGCTGTCGCTTGAGCGCGAATTATCATTTACCTTTTCTCGGTTATACTAACTGATTCCGCCTTTATGTATCACTAGGTTTCCTTTGGATGACCCAGTACATCTAAGTGATAGTCATATCAACATATCTGATGTCTTCCAAAATATGTAGCTGAATTGCACAGAGCCAATTTTTTGTCATCCAGCTGGATTCTATCTTCACCGTTACCTTCATAGCCTTTCCGTTTTTCTTTCAGCTTTATAATACATTCATATTTTATGATATATAATCTCCTGTCGAGTTTACCTATGCACATGGGTTTAAAGAGTATAAATTAGACGCAAAAATTACAAAAGACCTTTGCGAGCATGTTTATTAATGCCAGCAGCAACTGCGGACATCGAGACGCGTGGACAGAAAACGCCTTGAAAAGGGCACATGCAGGAAGGCGCGTCTGAGGAGACAGCTTGTAGTGCTGTTGTATGGGCCAGGTTACTGCACGCCCCCGAGACGGAACAAGAAAGCATTGAAGCAGTAACAAGCTATGGAAATGGGCTGTAATTTGCTAAAACAAGCAAGGTTGCTGATCTCACTTTCGTCCTCAATCGTATAGACTATATCTTCATTCATTGACATGAACATTTACTTCAAGGTCTGCTCTCATTCGTGAAGTCTTCTTCCATAGCCATGGTCTCACTGCATGGCTCTGACCACTTCAAAGGTACGTACGATTCTGCGGAGCTGGGAGTAGAACAATGGCAACTTTTGTGGATGACGGGGCTCTCGTCTTTCCTGGCCAGGCTTTTGAGGCAAACCTAGAGAATGGACATGCACATGGCCTTGCATGGAGCTCCTTTATCGCGAATAGATCGGAACGTTGCACAAGCTCTTTGATTGCTAAGACCAATGTGTTACCGTTGAGGCTGTGCACCACGCGGGCCAGATACACGTGTCGATCACTATGTCCCTTCAATGCAGTACGAGCACCAAGTGCAAACCCATTATGCTGCTGACAAAGGCTTTTCTTGCTATTGCACATTTTCTTCGTTTGGTTCAATCTTCACTCTTTATTTCATTTTCACGTTGACTTTTGTTGATTCTAAGGTGTGGGGTTCGAAGCGATACATACAAAGGAAAGTGGATTGGCTTGCCATCAGTCAATCTTACTTGGGAAAGTAAAGACTGTGCAGGGTACACCGCGGGCAGGTTGCAAGCCATGGTACCCCAGAAAAAACCACAAGGGAAAAAAAGTTCGGCTTTTGACCTTCTTATTTTTTTTTGGGTATTTTTTTGTCTCTCTTATTTTTTTTTTCTTGTTCTTGTTCTTGTTCTTTTTT